GAGGGCAAAGATTCTTGACAGATACACATATATATGTGTATATACACTGTTGAATCGAGTGTATATACTATATATATATATATATATATATTTGCCTTTTCTAATTGTGTATTCCTCTGTAAAGTAATAAAACTAAGATTTGGTAGACAGAAGTTACAAAACATTCGATAGTGGGTACTTATTTTATTTAATTTGGAAATCCATTAACATTGGGTCCCATATAAGATTTGAATCATGGGGACGGAAATAAAATATTGACCATCCCAATATACCAAAGATAAAATTTTAATTTAGAATATAAACAATTTTTTTTATTAATGTAGTTTTTATGTATTTTGTCAATTTGGAGTTGTTTACATCTATCTATATTGATAAGCTGAAAGCTCCAATGAAGACAACCGAAATTTATGCAATAATTTTCTAGAATTATTATTATAAAAGATAATACCGGACCCATATAAAAAAAAAATTGGAGAAAAAGTGTAAAATAACAATTACAATAGAATCGTGTGTGTATATATGTATTTATTTATTAATTACAACGTTCCCAAATTAAAAGAGAAGAAAATTAAACAAAAACAAAGAGAAGGATTGGCTGAACCACGGTTTTTTATATATTATATTCGTTTCGTATGAGATCAAGTGTTTCAAATCGAATTCAGCTTCTAAATTGTTTTATATATACGTATATGTGTGTGTATATATGTATGTATATAGATGTATATCCACACTGATTGAAAATTGGAGGGAGAAAAGGAGAATAAAGGAAAATGAAAACGTGACAGATGAATCTTTGAGAGGTTCGAGGGACATCACTCATCACACAATACGCGACATTCTTTTGCATTAGAGTATGAAATTGGAGGGAATCCCTAAAACCACGACTACCGATGAGCCCCCACTTCCCACTTATTATATTATATACGAATATATATATATATATATATGCATTAATTCCTAAAATGAGCATATATTTATAGTAGGGGTGTCAATAGGCCACTCTCGTCCGACCCGATCCGAACCCGTATTCGATCCGAGAGGTTCGGACTCGTGCTGATCCGATTTTTTTTTTGGTCTATATAACTAAGCTACAGTGGCCTATACAATTTCTTTGTAATTTTATTTCTTTTTTAATTAATTTTTAAAAAAAAATATCGGGCTTTCGGATCGACCCGAATTAGACATAAAGCTCGAATTGAACCCGACCCAAAAGTCGATTTTTTTTTTCGGGTGGATTCGAGTCGGATTTCGAGTCTTGAGGAAAAGGGTAACTAAGTTGCTTACTCGTATAAAATATAATTTTTCTGAAATCACATATAATTGCATATATAAAAAGATTTGAGTTATATATGATTGAATTTTCCAAACGATCGGCTTCTTCCACCTAGACATAATTGCCAATCCAACAATTGTTCTACTCGATCGGACAATTATATATGTCTAAACATTTTGGGTTTCAGTTCAGATTTTGATTCAATTGATACCGATCAAATGGTTATATGGTTAAAATTGATGGGTTACAATCAAAGATTCAAAACATGAAAGAGTATAACTATATATTGACATAAAAAAATGGATAATATTGTCTTGATTTATATGTATCTTTAAAACCCTAGAAGAAAGTTGTAAAAATAAAATTAATAAACAAATTAAGATGATGTGAAATGAGCTTGCGAATTATGGATGAGAAAAAAAAAATTAAGTTTGTAAAAGAGAGAATTGAAAATTCCAAGAGGAAAGTGACAAAAGAGAGCAAAGGGCATGTGATGGACCATCTCACACTCGCAAAATGGGTACACACTTCCACCTTTGCTTTATTCTCTCCTCCATATTTCCTACATTATCTCTTGTCCCTCTATATATATATATATATATATATATATATGTGTGTGTGTGTGTGTATATATATATATAATCGTTACATGTATATATATATATATATAATCAATCTAAAGTATGAAATGTCGAAACGTTAACATATAGTTAGAAGCACGCAATATTCCATCATCAATCGATATCATGCTCCACTTGTCATCATAACACTCGGACTCTCTCGTTTCTTTTTACAAGTAATTAGCCTACCCTAGTTAAATTGTTACATGTTCATTTAGATAAGTGTCCACACACATACATACATACATACACACATACACACATGCATACATACATACATACATACATACATACGTACATACGTACATACGTACATACAGACATACACATACATACACACATATACATACATACATACATACATATGTTTGGGTATATACTATATATGCATGTATGGGGCATGTGGGAGGCAGACTGAAAGAAAAAGAGAGATGTGAGGAAAAGCAAAACCATTAGTATGGGGGAAACAAACGGATTTTGTAGTATTTCAAGGGATCTTCTCTTCTTCCCCATAGCATTCCCTTTCTTTGTTTTTCTGCCAAACTCTTTCTTGTTTTTATCACATTATACCAATTTCATTAATCACCTCAACTTTTGCATCTTTCCACAAGCTCTCTGATCATAATATATATATATATATATATATATATATATATAAATTAACTATTATATCATATTTAGACATTTTGGTATTCGATTCTATAAAAATTTATACCAATCTGGTATTATATAATATTAGGCAGTTCGATTTCGATTTTATTAAAAAAATATTTTTAAGCAATTTTCGGTTTTTTAGATTTTTTAAAAATTCGGTTCGGTTTTAAAAAGTTTTGGTTCTCTAAAAAACGTGCTTTTCACATTTTGTTTCGATTCGAGAATAATATTGAATTTTTCAATTCGATACGATTCAGTTCGCATGAAGTTGTACCAAAAGGTTCACCCCTATATATATATATATATATATATATCAGATTTGTCTTTTGTAAACCTAAATTGGTGCTCCATCAGTCTCGTTTCCCGAAGTAGCGGAACATTTTTCCTATTTGGTGTTTTCTCCGACAGTGTGTTCCAATAGTTTGATTGGTATAGTTGATTTCGATTTTAATTAATGCATCGCATTCGAGGTTAAGGTTAGATCTTTCAGTTATTTAAAAAAGGTGTTATTTTATTTAGAATTTTTTGTAAACGTTTAGGTATTTATATGCGATTTTTTTATAAATATAAATATGTGAGTTATTTTCATTATAATATAATAAGAAGTGATGTAATAATAAAGTGATTCGATTCTTTTTGTCTTTTTTATTTAATTTTCACATTTTATTATAATTTTCTACATCCAGGTAAAATTTTAGATGTTGTCCATTCGTGTTATTAAAAAATTCTATATATGGTTAGAATCTTATAGTGTGGATATCGGACTTACTCGTTGGACCTCAAAAATAGCATGCAAGTTCTCCAATACCGCGTTGAAACTATAATGTGAAACCCTAAAATTAAGGCGTATATATGTTTTCATAAAATTTACAAATTATAATTACTATCTTCTCAAGATAAGTATATATGAAAAAGGTGTCGGAATTGAAAAAGTACACTCACACGAGTTTGCAAATTGAAAAATCCCAAACTGATTCTATTTTTTTTATACATGTCAAGTACTTATCAACACTTTCCAAATAGCAGTCAACCCACCCAGTTTTACTCTCTCTGGATAAAACTCCAATATTACAAGAAATTCTACCAGTCACAAACACTTTGTATGCAGCGCATACCACGTGTTACCCTAGACCATGTCTAGACCCAATGATTGATTCGTCTGTTACTTAAAACTCCTCTCTGATCTACCTCACGTTCTTTCAAATATCACTCATCAGTGTGTTCTAGTGGAGTCTTCAACATATATAAATTTCTCCAAGTGATTCTCTCAATATCTTCTGAATATGTGCTTTGTCTTTTTCTTCATTGATGTCAATGTCTTCTTTCTTTTTATTGCTTCTTTTCTTATGTGTTTTACAGATACAGTTCCACACTTCCATTTTTTCATCAAGACTCTTCTTGAAACATTGGGTTAATGCCTTTCCTCTTCATCTATATTCATTGAACCATATCTGTCTTGAGGTCGAGTAAGTTCATTGAAACTTATTTCTATAAGAAAACATACGCACAAAACGTCTTCGGCCGAGTAGAAATCTGCTCGGATCGAGAATGATTTTCCGTGAATTTTTTGTAACAGATGTTCGGCTGAGTAGAAATTCTACTCGGGACGAACAAGTCTTATGTACAAAAGAACAAGATTGGGTGGCTCAACTGATAAGAAATGGAAAAACTTCTCAACCTATATTCGAGTTTCCATTTGGAGATGGACATTCACATGGGCTTCTTAAGAAACGAAAAAGTTTGAGAAATGAATCATGATCGCTTCTGTCATACAACTGCTAACACTAGCTAACTAACAGAAAATAAACATTCCATCAATATTTAGCAAGATACAGCTACTACCTATCAAGAATATCATATGTTAATAGGTTTTTCCGGTTTTCTGAGAGTTATAGTTGGACTAAAAGTCAAGTGAATTTTCGGATTATAAAAAAAAATATTTTGTACAAAACACATTAGATCCGTTTTAGTGCATGCTCGGCTGAGTAATAATATACCACTCGAGCCAAGCAAACTTTCTGTCAAAATTTTACTTTCTATAGTTTCATATCAGATTTTGGATTTTGGATTCCAGATTTGAGATTTTGGGTTTCGGGATGGCTTGTTCTACCGAGTAAATAGTTACTCTACCCGAGCAAGCTCGCTATCAACGCAACGTACAATTTCACCGATTTATATCATATTATCTACGAATATAAGAGAATACGTACATATATATACACGCAGAGAGATTTGGTATATGGTCAAGTACTCGTGATGGTAATAACGTGACTAACGTTATACGTTCAAATTAGGTTTCCTCGTACAAATGATGGGCTGTCTTTTTTCTTTCTTTTGGGTCTCTTTCCTGTAACCCTAACTAGAAACCAAAAGTCCATTTTCGTTTTTCTTTTTCAAGGCCCAAATTATTAATTATTATTTTGGCAGATTTGTTTTTTTATAATAATATTCCACGTGGAATACTTGTTTATGGTCGGGTTCACGTGGAATTAACCCTAAGAATATAAAAGACTTTATAATCTGGACCACTCTCTCTCTCTCTCTCTCTCTCTCTCATCCCGACAATGCCTTTTAAATTGCTTCGTTTGCTACCGTTCATAAACCTTAAAGACATAAATGCTTAGTTTGTACGAAAATATATATCCTCAAATTCAAAATGAAAATATTCTAATGATAGTATTTGGTCTATAATCGACCATCATCAATATATATATATATGATAAAAAAAATATTCTAATATTAGTATTTCGTCTATTATCGATCATCATCATTGTAAATAATGATAGCATGTGTGTGTGTGAATTGTAGATGAGTTATTTATTATTATTTTTTATTATGAATAATGAACTATATTATATATTTAAATTTATTTGATAGCAAATAAATATTTTTTTTTATTTTGTTCATGAGTACTTTTTTTTGTCTTTGTACAAATATAATTATATAGGGTGATACAAAATCAATTCGTGTACTGCAAAAAATTGGCCCCACACAAAGATAGAAACCTAAGCTTCTCGTTGGTGTCACGAGCCCATTACGCTGCTTCTTCCTTATTGGACATTACAAACTTTTTTCTTTAAATATATTCACATTGATATTGTATTTATGTTTTATTTCATTATATATTTATAAAAGTTTACCCAACCGTTGGTGGTCCAATGGCTAAGAGGTGACAAAAACATTCTCAAGGTTTTTCACTAATGGGAAGAGATGTAATTTCTGGACCAAAATGGTCCATATACAAAGGTTGGTCCCGGATCTATAGTAGATGTAGTCGGGTTGAAGGTATGGAGAACTATGCTGATTATCAAAAAAAAAAATATATATATATATAAAATTTATGATTCATAATCTTCATTCACCATGAGATACTCTCCTCTTAGTCATTCCGATTTTGTGAGAAATATAACATGAAAAAAAAGGAATGGGAGAATAATTTTTTTAGTGAGTAGTTCAATTATATTTTTCAGAATTCTCTCTTTATTATTCATATGGAACATATTTAAATTCTTTTTTTATATAAATAACAAGTGAAAATGAATTATATTGTTACAAAACAAATGCTAAAACAACAATGAGAAACTACACTTCAATCTTTAGATCTCTGTTTTAATATCTACTTAATTGTTAGACTAAAACATATAGTGTATTTTAAACATTAATCCAACACAAGCTATATATATATATATATATATATATATATATATATATTTGAAGAAAATTTTAGACATGTGTTAAATATATTTTGCTTTAAATTGATTCTAAGAATATATTGTTTTAGTTTTTTTTTTAACTTATTTGAATAAGCTTCCTGCCAAAAAACAAAATTCTCTTAAAAGGAAAAAAAATGGAGGAAGAAGAGAGAGAATGAGATGCTGGGGGCACAAGCATGCATTCACAAATTGACAGGCAGTACAATAATGCTGAGGGACTTTGACAGATGAGTTTTGCCAAATTCATTTGGCATATTATTTTTTTAATACATTTTTCAAACTTTATATTATGTCAATTATGGATGCACATTTTAGGTTAAGAGTTTACATTCACTTAAATGTATTTTAATTTTTTTTATTTTAGAAAGGTGTGTAAATTCAAATTTATATTAAATTCCAATTCGATTAAATTAAATTTTGTTTTTAGTTCAAACTATGTTTAATTTTAAAAAACTATATGTTTTTTTCTAAAGTTTTCTATGCCATTTTTTATATTAGCTCTAAAGTTAATTAATTTGAAAAAGCAAAAGTATATCTAATTAATTTTAAATCCAATTCCTCTCAAATGTAGTTAGATATTATTCCATTCCTATATAACATTCAGTTTTTATGAAATTTTTATTTTATTTATCTAAAATAATTTTTAAAAAAACTCGCAAGTACATTTATTTAAGAGATAGGGTCCACATACAAACTAATTTATGAATTGATATATACACACATATATATATTTGGACAGACAACAAACATGAACATCTTTTATTATAACTAGTATGGATTCAGAAAAAAATTAAATAAATAAATAAATAAATAAAAAAGAAATCCAAGTGGATGGGTGATATATGCATTAATAACACAGAACTAACTTCACCTCAGCTTCACAGGAAAAAAGAAATGACTAATTGAGAGTAAGAGATGTGTGGTGGCCCTAAATGGATACAATTACTATTATCTTTGTTACATCAATATATATATATATATATATATATATATATATATGAAAGAAGAGAAAAAAATATAATCATTCATTTGAAAAGACTGAAAGAAGGGAAGATGTTGATATTGAAATTGAAACATATGCCCTTTGTTTATTTTATAATTGAAATTGAAATATATGCCTTTTTTTATAAAGATCCTAAATAAATATATAAACTATAAAATTTTCATATAAACACCCGATTTTTTTTTAAAATCTATATAAGTACCTAGACTTTTGAAAATTTCTAAATAAACACAAAGTTCAAGTATTTTTCAAATAAAAATAGACAACATCATTAACAGATTTTGAGTTTATTTGAAATTTTTTTTAAAATCTAAGTACTTATATAAGATTTTGATAAAGTTTAAATATTTATTATATAGAAATTGTATAGTTCAGATATTTATTTTAGATTTTGATAAGTATTTATATACGATTTTCTCTTATAATTAATCATCAACTATTATCACAAACTGGATTTTCTTTGCCAATCATATTTGACAAATTGCCTATTTCGAGAAAATGCTATAACATAAGATTATTAAAAACAATATAATAATCTCCTTTTCCTACTAGATATTATTTGTAGAAGTAACAAACATTGATCTTCAATGCTGCTTTGCTTTCACATTGATGCATTTGGTATACATTCCCCTCTATACACACACACACACATATATATGTATATGTACATTGATACATATATTACATATATACATGTGCTTATTGAATAATTAAGATCTTAAACACCACCATTTAACTTTGCAATGCTTATTGTGAGTTAAAGTTAAAACTGTTACCAGTTGATAGAGAAGGAAAAAAGAGCAATGAAAGAGAGAGAGAGAGAGAGAGAGAGAGAGAGAGAGAGAGAGAGAGAGAGAGGAACTTTGTGGTCCAAGAACATAGTACTTGTGATTCTTCCCACTTTCCTTTGGCTGCTTCACCTTCACCCTTTCTAATTTCAAAAGAACGTTTATATTCACTCTTCTCTCTCACAAGTGACTTCCCCATGAACAGAAAGTCTTCAGCTTTACCACCAATGATGAGTATGGGAACAACTAAAGCCGAAGGGAAGAGGAGTTTGAGAGAAATGGGAGAGAAAGAGAGAGAGAGAGAGAGAGAAGAAGAGGAGGAAGAAGAAGAAGATGATGATCAGAACGAGGCCGAGGCTGAGAAGAAGAAGAAAGGTAAGAAGGCAGCGTACGGAAGCAGCAGCAGCAGCAGCAGAGAGAGTTATAACGTGTGCCAAGTGGAGAACTGCAACGTGGACATGACAGGAGCTAAACGTTACCACAAACGCCATAAAGTCTGCGACTTTCATGCCAAAGCTCCAGTGGTTAATGTCTCTGGTCTTCACCAACGCTTCTGCCAACAATGCAGCAGGTCTGTTTTAAGAACCTTCTCGTCACTTCCTTCCTTTTCTTCTCCTGCGAAAATGAAATGAAAAAAAAAAGACCCAGATGAAGATCAGACCAGAATCACATCATGTCATATCATCAATCATATGATAATTGGCATTGGATTTGATGAAGGTTTCACGAGATCGGGGAGTTTGACGAAGCCAAGAGGAGCTGCAGAAGGCGTTTAGCCGGGCATAATGAGAGGCGAAGGAAAGTTAGTAACGAGTATCAAAGTGGTGAAGGGTCTAACCAAACCTGAAGGATTGATGGAAAATGAAGTATAGAAGCTCGCTCTCTTCTGTCACGTCTCTTGCTTTTTTTTTTCTCCTTCTTCTCAAGGCTCTGCATTCCTTTAGTGAAATCCTATGTGATGGATCTTTTTATGTTACTGTGTAAAGTCTCGAGTGTTGCTTCCCCCATTGCCTGCAATGAACGAAATCTGCAAGACCCGTGACACGGAAATAAAACAAACCTCGAAAAATGCATGAACGTTGAATGTTTTACGGGATGTAGACAGCATTCAGGGCTTAGGGCTTCGACAGAGCAGTTTCTTGGACAAATGTCTGGAAGCAGGGACATGCCTCAAGCAAGACCTTGAGCTAGATCATATGTTCTGCAATCAACATGTGAGGACACCAAGGAAGCTGAAGCTTTCCGAGAAAATGTTTCTTGATTATGTAAGTAAACCTTAAGATCCATTACAAGAATGGTTTTTTTTTTAAAACTTAGGATAACCAATCATATCCTAGTGATGTTTAATTCCCAACATTTTCATGGAAAATTCCCAAGCAACGATTGCCGCTGCATTAGCAGGAAACGCCCTCACGATGGTAGGACCCAAACCCGCATAGCATCCCTTCAGTCCAGCCCTCTTGTAGATCTACAGAGAATATAATCTCCAATACATTATTATACCGAATAAAAAATGCATATAACTTCGTATCGGTGCTCGGAATACATGGAGGCAAGGCGAAATGTAGATGTCTGACCGAGTTCAAAACTACAAATGGATTTCTCGGGGAAGTTTTGTCCGGAGAAGTCTGGATAATGGTTTTTGCTACGTCGAGAGGCAAAACAGCAGACCAGCACTGTAATAGAAACACGAGTAAACCCATGAACATCAAGAAAGAATAACATTGTCTAGGAATCATCAAAACAAAGTAGAGAATTCTTACAGCTATTCCACCGAGACCACCAGTGACAACGCCTACTCCCATGTCAACCAAGTTGCTGTCTTTTAGCGAAGAATTCTCCAACTTTGAGTGGATGTGATAACGAGCATACTCATAGACAACAAAAAAGGTTGCATTTCCAAAACATTCTCTCAAGAATGTCGCTGAACCACCACGAAAAATACCTGTTACCTGAAAGACTTCGTATCAAAACACAATATTCTCGTCCAATCCGTCGTATAGTTGTGCAGTGTACATCTCTCACCCCATCATTTTTAACCGTCTGAATGGCACAATCGAGCGAACCACTGTATCTACGTGAGTTGAGAACCAGAGAATCCGTGCCTTGGATTTGCATTCTACACTGAAGAAAAACAACAGAAGTCATATAAACTCCATTGAAAACATCAAACTGTTATCCGGAAAAAGCTGGTGCTTCGGATAATTCACCTTTACTAGCTCTGATGGACATAGTACAAAACTAATCATAGCTCCACCAAACATAGCAGATGGTACGATTATCTGTGGCTGTGGCCTGTTATCTTGAGAAGTTCCCTTTAACACCAAATGGAACACGAGCAAATTTTCGGTTAATCAGATTCGCCATTAAAGATCAGTAAAGATCGTTTGACCTGAAACATTACCCGCAAGAATAGCTTCGCCTGGGAATATATGCCAAACATGAGTGAACTCTCGAAGGCCATCCCCAAAAACGAAGATGTCGCTCCTCTGTAAAGACCTTTGACCTTAAAAAAATGGTAGTAAGTCAGGGGAATGCTCCAAGAATATGACACCCAACAACTCGTATCAGATTCATCGTGAGTGGTAAAAACGGATAGGCCTAGCTTCCACGTAATGTCAAAGAGATGGAAAACTCAGAATCATGTTCTTTCATAGATGTAAGAGCTCATGGGGCATAACAAGTTCCAAAGAGACTCATGGCACTGTAACAGACTCAGAAGAAAAACTATAAGTTATCAAGGAACATTTGTTATTCACATTTGTGAGTGATTTATATGTGTCATTACCTAATGCTAATTCACAAAGCCATGTTCCATTCAAGATGCTTGCCGGAAAAAAAAACACGAGATAAGTTGGTAAACTCGTTCAACAATCATGATTCCTTCATTTAAATCAGTGTGAAACAATTCAAGTAATAGAGAAGAAGAAAACCAAGAAAGCAAAATGAAGCATACTCCTTCAGTGCTCAAGATCCTAGCAGCACAATGCAAGCCATTTCTGTATCTGATCCCATGCACATCTGTATTGTGTTTCTGGAGTTTTACCTGACACAAACGTAAAAACATAACCCATGTTAATCACTTACACATCATAAAAACAGGTGAATTATGACTAAGAAATTCAGGAGAGAGGGAAAGGAAATTCATGTAAACCACTGTTTCAAGCCAATGATTCAAGACCAGTTGACAAACCACATAAGTCCAAACATCATGAGGGTAAACCCAATTGACATTATCTGATACCAATTCCTAATAGATAATTCAACAGTTACCCAGTTCAAGTGGAGCAGAAAAAGAGATATTCCCAACAAAAAGGAAATCCAACCAAACCTTAGAAGTAACCTTCACTGGCATTGGCTGATACCTATCCAACATCTGTTCCTTAAAGACAATTTTCGACAATTGCGCATTTCAAGTGGAGCAGCAAAAACACTCCGACATGACGGAAACAAACTTGTAACCGGAAGTGAAATCAACAAATGGGTACCAAACGAAATGAACATAGTAGCAATCACGGAACAATGAAGCAAAAACCATCGAATCCAAACAAGAAATGAACGACCCACTTGGGGATTGCACCGAAAACGAAGCTAAGAATCGAAATCATAAGGATTGAAGCAGATGCGTGGTACCTTGACGGTGTCGAATGGATGACCCACGGCGACGGTGGCGAGACCAGCCATCATTCCGGCGATATATTCCTTGTGACCCTCGAAGCCCTCCCCCATCGTCCTCTCTCTCCCTCTCTCGGGTTTTCAACCAAGCATGAGCAAAATCTCGTACGAGAGCGATTAGACAGTGCCTTGACCCCGTAGTTTCTTGCAAAGCCCACAAAGGTAATGTGAAAGTTCCACGGTATTCAAATGGTACAGGGTCTTAAAAATCCCAACTTGCTACAAGAAACCAAGGAAACCTATACAGAACGAGATAAAAAAAACGCCAACTTTTTTTTTTCGCAAGAAAGGAACCATCTTCACATGTTTGGATTGTCTCTGCCATTAGGGTAATGGTCAAAATTTAATCTTTCATCAAAATAAGAGAACTTTCACGAAATGGTCCAAATGGACAATAAGAATCAGGAAACGGTTCTAAAAAATTTAAACATGTCCGCAACAGCAACAGCAACAGCAACAAATAGAGCTCTTTCCGAGCATAAGTTACAAACTTTATCCGGAATTTCCCATTGTCACATAATGTTACAGAACACAGACTTCCCGGTTCATTCCTCCAGAGAGCGGACAGTCATTCGTCTTTTAACGGTTCGTTTGTCACAATTTGCTGGGAATAACGTCGTTGGAAAGTTTCTCTTGCTCGCCCCGTTGAGACGGGGCTGGCTTTCCGAACATGTTTTGTGTCTCTGCTATGAATTTGGCGAACTGAGATCCTTTCTTTTCACCATTGGTACCGTCTATGAGTGACTGAGGAAGACCGGGAAAAGAGGGTTTTGGCTTTGGCGGCAGTGGTGGCATCAATGCCCATATGGACGAGAGCTCTTTGTTGGGTTGATCCATAACTTGAAGGACGGTAAAACCCTGCATGTCTGTTTGAATGGTGACACAGAGGAAGGGAAATCTATTGAGAAAACTATTAAGTAAAAAACCATCAGTAAACCGTAAGAAATTGGAATGATATCCAAACCTTCAGCAAACTTGAAGATCGGTGCCAAGACTGCAGACGGGATGCTGAAGTTGAGATGCGGTATAACTGTCCCTGCCCCATGTCTCGCGTTGCTGCAGAGAAACAAAAAATAAACGATGTCTTTGAAACAAAAGGGGAGGCTTTATGCAAAAGGACACATCCAAATTGCCCAAAACCGAATCCAGAGGTCTGTAAATTTAGGCCCTTGTCTACTGGGTGGAGTATGCTACTTTTTTGCTATAATCAAAGAAATCGTCAGCTGATGCCGCAGGAAAGTAAACTCAAAAGAAAAGATCGATGGAATCCAACTAAAAAAAAAAAGATCACACAGCTCTTCCTAATCTCTACCATGAAGAAATCCAAATTAAGCCATATTGGTTTCTTTAACAGATCTTATTGAATCCAAAAAAAACCGTCTACAACTTGAATTTGAAACTACTGAGTCTAATGAACTGTGCTTGTACATGAAGTTTGTCCTGCAGCCATTCACACTCAAAGCATAGCAAACTGGACATTTTTTTCACTTTCTTGGTAAAAACGGTATTACATTACCTGGTAACAAGTCCAATCATATGACCATGGGAATTGACAACTGCACCGCCACTACCTCCCGGATGGACAGCAGCAGTTGTTTCAAGCATTGCAGGGAACTCATTTTTATACTGTATAATGGATTCCGGATAAGGTGACGTGTTTGCCTTAACTACCTTCGCCACAACTCCGGAACTAACAGATGGAGAAAGTCCTGTGAGCAACACAGAAATGTCATAAGACAGAATTCATGAGCAAACCCAACTGAAGAGAAGATCAATGAACAATTGCTTTCTTTCTTCCAATTGAGAACAGAGGGTACATGTATTTATGAGCATGTACCTCAGTAATCAAAATAAAAAACTTGCTAAGTTCAGATAAACCATAAACCAAAACAAGAAAACAGAGACAAAAGAAGATCTTTACCACATCTTGGTCCGAAGAGTCCATGTCCAATAACATGTGCTCTCGAACCCAACGGAGGGCAAGAAGAATCAGCAACAATAGGTCGAAGCTTTCCAGGAACATATTCAAGCTGCAGTAAGGCAACATCCAATTGTTCCTTGCAAATATATACTATCTGTGCAGGACACCAAACCCAAGAATCTAGATGATCCACACGAACACGAATGTCTCTATTGCCAGTGTGAAGATGATTGTGTTTGTATTCCTTGATACCATCAGCCACAGAAGAATACAGATTATTTGGAGTTCTTCGGGACAAAGGGCGACTCTCCGGATGCCGAGTTCCATTTCTGGTGGAGGAAAATTCTTCAGCTCCAAAGAGATGGGTGTCTGAACCATTCTCATTCCCTCTGCCATTTACAATGCCTTTTCCAAATCTCCATGGCTCAAGCAAATGAGCATTGGTTAGTATAAGACCATGTTCATTGAGAAGAACACCGGATGCCCAAACACCATCATTAACGGTGATAAGACATATAGATTTCATTGCACTCTCGACTGCAACTTTTGGTTCTAAAGAAGAGCTAGAACCATGATGCTCATCAACTTGACAAAAGCTTTTCTCGGGACCGTGATAAAAGAACGCATTGGGTTTAGCACTTAACGTTTCACTTCCCCACTGGGTTCCTCTTCCTTCGTTGCATGGCTCATCCAGCAGCAAGTCCTTGTAACTAGTGGCAATAGCTCCCCATGGAATCACCAGCTGCTACCAAAGGCTACAATTTTGCATGATACATTACAAAGACAACATTTCAAACACCTAAATGTAATAAAGCACACTTCAACAAACCTGAATTTCTACACCACTACTCTTTTGTCTGATAGGTCTGATCAAAATGCCAAGAAAGCATCCGTTTTTATCAAACACCGGACCACCTTCGGTTCCTGAAAGATAAATGCCCAGGAAAATCAGCTTTTAGCCCTAGAAAAGTGTGAAACAAATCAACGAATCACCAAGTTTTGTACACACCAGGAAGACACCGAACATCAGCTATCAAAAGTGATGAATTGAGCGATCCAGGAGGACAGCAGTTAGCAACGGAACCAGTTGAAATACTGTTTCAAACAACAAAATGGCTCTAAACAAGAGCAGCATGAAGCATGCTAGCAGCGAGAAGAGATAAAAGATGTGAGACAGCAAAACCATGTAAATTCCCAGAGTTAGAAATGACAACCGAGAGAATGAAAACCATGTTGATCACCAATCATAATGAAAAGCGGTCAGCCAGTACAAAAATTACCTGTTAAAGAAGTGCATGGGCGAGAGGATACCAAAAGGAGAGCCTACTGCTACAAGGGCATCACCTCTGTTAATTGACGAGCCCAACATTATGTTTGGCTGGCCCTGGTTCAGAAAATATCCACATTCTGAAAACGGTCCAGACTTGTAAATATAATTTCAAAGGATTTCTAATTGTATAATAAAATATTAATCAGAAAGGGAAATAAAGGATGAAAAACAGGGAGATTTACAAGTAAACTTAAAGGGACTCCGAGAAGAGCCATCCTACATGCCGACTTAGCCATAAAGCGAGCATCCAATGGCTCCTCCAGTTGCATATGTCTCTGACTCTCCATCAATAATTTGCTTTCAGGCTCAATCTGGAAGGGTCAATTAAAACTTTTTCAGAAATAGATGGGAAATTCCATTTTGAAGAAAAAGCAGACTCAACAAAAGGAACACTCACAAGCATCAAACTCTTCTATTTACCAAAGCAACCAATAAAGGATCAGAATGTGTTCCTTTCATGATATGTGATAATGGCCTGTGCATTTGACTTACATCGATCGGCTGGGAACCATTTTCATAGGAGACCAGAGACCATCCAACATCCCATCCAGAGTCTTTTGATCCCAGAGAAGCTTCGATAAGAGATTGGAGTGCAGCTGAAGATACAGGGACATCAACCTTCGTAATATATTGATTAATCAGAACTGAAAACAAGCTTCATATACCTTTAATTATCAAGGGCAATAAACTTTCAGGACAAATAGAAAAATTCGGATGGAAAAGGCAACTAATTGTTCCAGAAATCACGGGACCAACCCGCAAGTAATAACATACCATAACTCTACTCTATCAAAGACAACCAAGTTAAAAATGATGAAATCACCTCAAACCACAAAAAGGAAATTCTAATATTATATACAAACTAAACCGACTACAATTACTTTGTAATCTATTACCCCATTAACATGCTAAAATTTCCAAGATTTTCTGTCGATATCATAGGCCACTAGTAGAATGAAGCCGTTTCAGGAGTTATTATGCACTTATGAATCAAAATATCAAGTCTGAAACAATAGATGGACAATAAACTGATACACAGCAATCTACCAACAGTGAGAGAGAGAGCAAAAGAGAGAGATTTCATACCAGGGAGAGGAGTTGAGCAGGAACCCAAGAAGGAGCTTCCTCTTCTGACTTTATCCGATCCTAAAAACAAGAAACATCACCAAATCATGCCCTGAGGATTCCTACAACAGCTTATCATTTTAAAGCAAACCATTCATAGGAATTAATCTTATTATACCTCCACCATTATTTCAACCCGAGCACCTGGAATAAACTTCACTGGACCCTGTACAAGATAACATCAACAATAACTCAATCAGCATTCCATTAAAGGGAAAAAAGAAAAGAAAACTCTAGGACAAATGGGTATCACTGGTTGGAAATTAGAGTTGAATATCTAACCTGAGAGACACCAGTTCTATGTCCTAAAGTTAAAAACGGTTCTACAACAGATGCAACAGTCAGAACCAGAGCCAAGTCCTGACCAGCAACACATCCTTCAAACACACTCCGAGCAACCTCGGTGTCGTAGAGATTACAAGGCAACAACATTCCAGAAGCTGAAACTGTTGTATTGCCAGAGCTACAAGACAGCAATAAAACCAAAACGGCCAGAAGGAATCAGACAAACATAATCTCCAAAAACGAAAAACCAAATCGAAGAAGATAGATTGGTAAGAATTTATACTCACTGGTACTGATGAAAAGCATGTTTTCTCATCTTCAATCCCTTTGGATCCTAGACAACATCGATAACATATGATCACAGTATCTGTGTATCAGTTCATATGCATCCAAATACACATACACGTGTACATACAATTTTCGCGCGAATCACCAGTGTCTACGAAAAGGGTAAAGAGAAACAAGCGCTTACAGGTCCTTGAACTTTGACCAAGACGGCGAATTTCTGGGAAAAGACGAAAGCTTCCGACAAACCCATGATCGGAAAACCAGGGATTTCGCCCAGACAGCAGGCGATTGGCGAATGGATTGGATTTTTGTATGCTTCTTGACCTCTCGTGTTGGGATGAGGAGAGGATGAATCACACTGACCAAGAACAATTAAGGGCGGCGATTGTTGGGCCCACGAATTCTTACGGATTCCGTCAATGTTTCGGTTCTTAATGAAATCATCACTCACACGCAAAGTCGGAGCAGATCCGTTCTTCGGTACCAAAGCCTAAGGAGAAATAGAATTGAAAGAAACAAATCCAATAATATGTAATTAAATATCTAAAAGGTTTTTTATATTAGTTTTCTTGAAACAAAATTAATTAGAATTAGAATCTAAATGAATTTGTAAATAATAAAAATTAACTGAAAATAAAGTCCTGATCAGCGAAAATTAAATATAAAAAGACGATAAAATTGATTAAAAAATTAAATAGGTATATCTATGTAAAAATAGTGAACGCTAATATAACTAAATTAAAATATATTCAAATCTAAAATCTGAATTCCTAAATCCAAATTGTCCAAAAAATTCTATTTATTACTGTTAGGTGAAACTTTTTAAGAGTAATTTATATTTCCCACATAATAAAAAACAATATGATCGATTGTAGTAGTATATACTATATATATACACACACAGTCAAAAATATATAAAAAGATTACAGTAAAAAAAAATCATGTTTCGTTTTCGTATCAAATTCATGACATGGATTTCAGCTGCTTGGTGACATTTAAATTAACTAAAACCGATGTAGCAACCATTTCCTGGTTCATGTGGGTGGGGCGACTCTGACTGGTAAATCTGTGTGTGCTTGAGCTCTTCTGCCTTTGTAATCTGGTTTGGCCAGCCCGAGATTAGTTAACAGGTGCTGAGACAGCTGGTGTGAGGAAGTTGATTTGGGTTATAGCAGATTCTTCCTTCATTTGACGCCCCTAGCAAACGATCGCAGCCTGGGGGTCGGAGGCTACTCTCAGAGTTAGGTTGCAACCTTGGCTGAAAGAGGACAAAACTAAAACTACAGATCCAAATTCTATTATATATTTCAAGCAAGCCCAAAAGACAAACGCAGCTCATCCCACTGATATATGCTGTATAAATCCCAGGAACCCAACCTCCTTCAAAGAAGAACAAACCTGAGCAATATGGACCAAGTTATATGGTTTGGAATAAAACCATTCTCCACACCTCTGCTTAGAAGGGAACAAGCTTCATCAACTTCATTTTCTTTGCACAGCCAACTCATCAATGTGTTGTAGGTTACAGTGTCTGGTGTCATTCTCCCTTCAACCTGGAGTTGCTCAAACATTTTCAGACCCTCTCTTATCCTCCTTCCCCTGCATAATCCATTTATCATTGTGTTAAATGTGGTGATATCTGGTGTCAACCCCCTCCTTATCATCTCCCTCAGAACCTCTTCCGCCTCTTTTATCTTCCCCCTTTGGCACAGCCCGTTTATCAGTATGTTACACGTGATGCTGCTCGGAACCAGCCTCTTCCCCATCATCTCTTCAAACAAGCCACACGCTTTATTCACAGCCCCCGCCCTGCAGAATTCTTTTATCAGACTGTTGTACGTTATATCATCCAGCATGCATCCCCTTAAATTCATCTCATACACGAGCTTCTGGGCTTCTTTTATTTCACCTCTTCTGAGATATGCTCGGATCAGTATATTGTAGGTCATGGTATTGGCAACGACACCCTCTGATAGCATATTCCTGTATATGCGCAAGGCATCTTCGATGTTTTCATCCTTGCAGAATCCGGATATAAGAGAATTGAATGTAAAAATGTCAGGTTTGCACCCTTTACTCCGCATCTCAGTCAAAATCTCCTCGGCTTTGCGGATTCTTCCCTCCTTGCATCGGGCAGATATCAAACAGTTGAAACCTGCGGTGTTCAATCTCAGGCCCTCTCTGGACATCTCATCCAGAATATTGTAGGCTTCGACTACCTGACCCAACTTGTGCAGCCCATTAAAAAGAGTAGTGTAAGACACAACATTCGGCTGACAACCGGTGTTCCTCATTTCGTGAAGCACTTGGAGAGCTAAACCCACACGACCCTCCTTGCAAAATCCCTGAATCAATGTGTTATATGTGACGAGATCAGGAACGTACCCACGAGAAGCATTCATATCTGATAAAACACATTTAGCTTTGTCTAGCCTCCCGCTTGTCACATAGCCATGAATCAAGGTGTTGAAAAGCACAGCATTTGGTTCAGGAATTCCGGAAAGAAGCATCTTTGCATCATCAACTCGGCCCGTTTTACACAGTCCATTCATCAAAAAGCCGTAAGTTAAACTATTGGGAGTAAATCCTTTGACCCGCATGCGGTTAACCAATTTCTCTGCCTCGTGGATCCGATCAAGCTTGCATAGACCATGGATGACATCATTAAACGTCTCAGTGTCAGGGTTACAGCCCATTACAAACATATCCTCGAGAAGTTTAAGCGCTTCATTCACTCTATTGCCCTTTGACAGAGAATGAATGAGAGTCTGGTAGATTATGGAATTTGGGGCACAACCATGCTTGGGCATGTCTCTGAGAAGTGACAGAGCAGAATCAACTTCGCCGATTGCACAGAAAGCTTTCATCATCACCGCAAACGTGAAAACAGTGGGAGAAACGCCTCTGTTAAGCATATCGTAGAACACATTAGCTGCAAATTTATGGCAATCACCAGCGACAAGAATATCCAACACTAAGTTGTAAGACTTAAAAGTGGGTTCGCAGCAGAAAACATCCCGCATTTCTAGTAACAACCTCGTAGTGTGTCCTGGGAAACCAGCTCTTCCGTAGTGTCTCATTATGGAGATGAATACGGACTCTCGAAAAACGATCCCTTCTTCTTTCATCTGCATCAACAACCTATCTATAGTCTTAAACTCACCAGCGGCTCCAAGTTTATCGATAAGAACGCAGTACACTTCGAAGGAGTGACGGTAACCCTTCTGAGAACCCGTCAACTCGAACAACTCCATTGATGTAGAAATATCGAGAGGAAACTCCAGTAACTTACAGAGCTCAAAAGGCGTGATCTTATGAAACGATCTCCTAAGAGAGTCGAGATCGAATGGCTTAAGTAGCTTCTCCCATTCGTTCTCGGAATCAGATCCACTGTTTTCTGGGCAAACGGCATCGCCTCCTTCAAAACTGCAAAATCCAGATTGGAAGATCGCATAGCACTCTATCCTATGCAAAGGCCATGATCTTCTGCTCACACCCCATAATTTGGGTAAATGAGTAAGGTATACCAAACCTATGGCACTCATTTCTCGGCTACACCCACAAAAATATAACCCATTAAATTTTTTTCGAAAAGACCGTAACCCTTAATAAAACCGTGTAATTATAATTGCAAAGTCGTAATTGATTCTAAATACAGTTTAGGGTTTAGGGCAGAGATGAAACAGGAACCTGTGCGTTCTGGGTAACCGTGTTTCTCAAAAGACCGCTGAGTTTATTACAGAAAGCCATCGTAGATATCTGTGAATCCAATACACACACACGGGCACGTCAACAAAACCATATCCAAGAGAAACCGTTTAAGAACAACCAAAACAAGATTCAGAACCAGATCATCCTCAATCTCAATATCGTTCACCATGAAAACAAGTTCAAAGTTCACAAACTCTTAAGTCTTAACACGACGATTTAAACAAAAGCAAACAAGAAAATCAAAGAAAAGCATACGAACAAAGACAGATACCGATGAACAAACATGAGAGAGCAGACACAAAGATAACAACAAGTAAGGAGGATCGAAGAAGGAGAAGGAGAAGAAAACGTACCTCAGGGAGGAGAAATGTAGAAGCTAGGGTTTAGAGAGGCAACAGAGGGACGAGATGGCAAAAGACTAGGGTTTTTCCCCAGAAGAGGTCTAATCAGGTACATCTAGGTGTATGGATATTAGTGTTACAATTGCCACTTGGGCCAGTTTTTTTATTTGTTTTACACTGGCGGCCCAACATTTTTAACATAACCGAAAAACCCATATTTGGGCGTGGGTCTCGACAATCTAGTTCGGTAAAATTTAGGGGTGGGCGTTTCGGGTTTCGGTTCGGTATTCAAGCGATTCGGTTTGGGAACGGTATTTTCGGTTTTACAAAAAGTGTACTAAACTAGAACCGAATATTAAACGGTTCGGTTCGGTTCGGATTTAGTATCGGTTCGGTTCGAAACGGTACCATTATATGAATACCAAATAAGTATCAGACTATAATATTTACACATATATTAGTGGAATATTCGATTTTCGGTTCGGTATTCATACGGTTCGGTTCGGGAACGGTTCATTCGGTTCCATAAAAAGTGTACCAAATTAGAACCAAAAGTTATTCGGTTCGGTTCGGTCCGATTCGGTTTTGGGACGGATCGGGTCGATACTAAATTCCCGAACCGAAGTGTCCACACTAGTAAAATTGATTAAAAAAATTAAATAGGTATATCTATGTAAAAATAGTGAACGCTAATATAACTAAATTAAAATATATTCAAATCTAAAATCTGAATTCCTAAATCCAAATTTCCAAAAAAATCTATTTATTTCTGTTAGGTGAAATTTTTTTAAGAGTAATTTATAATTCGCACATAATAAAAAAAACAATATGATCGATTGTAATAGTATATACTATATATATATATATGGTTATGAAAATATATACACACACACTCATAAATATATAAAAAAGATTACAGTAAAAAAAATCATGTTTCGTTTTCGTATCAAATTCATGACATGGATTTCAGCTGCTTGGTGACATTTAAATTAACTAAAACCGATGTAGAATTGGCCGCAGCTAGAAAATAATTAATGTGGGAGTAATAATAGAGTATATTATTTAAAAAATAATAATAATAGAGTATATTAATTTAGTTTTATTAATAATATACATGCAAATCATTATATATATATATATATTAAAGTATTAAAACTAGTTTTAGTGGCATATATCCCAGTAATTTTAACCTAACATTGTATATCATAAATACTAATATTATTTTTAATTTCAATATAATTATTACTTTTAAAATTAGGATATGGTTCTATGGATAATATGCGCCGAACCATGTTATAAATATTTTAACTATGTATACCTTTTTTTGTAAAAAAAAAAATCTGTTTTAAAATTTAACTATATACATCTATATATAAACCTTCCTATAATAATGTATAATATATATATATATATATATATATAAATCTTCCTATAATAATGTATAAAACATTTCATTAAACCTGTACTAAGAGATGCAGTCTCTTTGGCTTCATCCACAATATTTTAGCTGAATCTGTCAAATAACAAACCACAATTTGATTCCGACCATACATATCTTTTACTACTTTATATTATTTATTAAAAAAATGAAAACTTATATACAATATATTATTTTATTTCAATTTGTGTGTTTTGCTTTGCATAGCGATAAGGAAAAGGAAATTGCGTGAATATATATATATATATATATATATATATATATAATATATATAATATAATTATATATAAGGGAACTAATAATAAAGCTAAATTCATTCGGTGAAACTGAAAGACCACGAGCCTCCGAGCTCGACCCTCTCTCTCTCGCACGGAAACAAACCCAGGGAATGAAGAAAGGTCAAGCGAGAGGCTAAGTATTCGCACGCGAATCTCCGTCCGCCATTGAAGACGAACCTCCAGAACACTCAAAACCCCTTTTTCCCCTTTCTCCTGTTTGGTTTTGTCTCCGATCTTCTCCTCGAAGAACCGTCGATAACGACAGAAGCAATGCCGACCCACCAACGCAAACGTCTCCACGATGCCGCCGGAGTTGAAGACGGTCCTCTGCGGACGGAAGACGGAGAGAATCATGAGGACGAGCCGGAGGAAGAAGATCGTGATGATCACGACGATGTTGAAGCTGAAGGTACGTGTTCTCGGTGCCGGGGAAAGTATGAGTTTATGAACAACCCATGTAAATTTTTCGTTCTGGGTTTGAAGATTCAGTACCCAGGAGCTCGCATCTAATTTTCATTTCGTTCTTGGATTTCTATCTCTTGGGTTTTTTTTCATAGAATCTGATCGGAGCTCCTTCTCCAGCGACGGAAAGGATAAAGAGTAAGCCTTCTGCTCTCCTGATCCTTTGTTACTTTTTCTTGATTCTATCGTTGTTTTCTCTTGCATTCTCATGTTCCTCACGATGTTTTCTCGGTGATTTTTGGATCTGCATGCAATTTGCGGCATGCCAGTGATTGTATCGTTTATCGTTTAATACATGCTCTATAAAGCTGCTTGCTGTGTGTTGGAAACAGTTGCAGAGTTGGCAATAGGGTAAAATGGTGTAGACCTTGTATTTTCTACATGTAGATGAATAGAAGTTGATGAAACCAGGATCTGGGTCTCACACTGTTCGTGTCAGAATCCTGTTTTGTTTTATCAATCTCTGGATCGTGTTCCCATGTCCGGTTCGATTTGTTTGTTGAGTCCAACTGGGTATAGCTAGAAAAGATGTGGCAGGATATGGTGACTAGTGTTTTGGTATATGCCCTATGATTGTTTGACTATAATGCAGACCTTGATATGGGTCAGAGACTTGGTTTGATTATGGTTTTACATCAGAGCTCCGGTGATCTTGTTCAATTCGTGTTTTGATATAGTGAACAGCTGATGATGTTTTATCAGAATTCGTATAGGGATCTTTGTCGGGAGTCTATTGGGTATAAGGTAGCTAAGTTGTAGCTAACTAAAGCTGCTAATCGATTTGTTCCAAGTGATACTTATCTAAAGAATTCATAATTTCCGGACTTTGTTCTCTGTTTGAGTAGATAGCCAGAGTTTTGGCATTTGCTTGATGTACCTCGGTCTTGTGGTAAATCAGCTGCTTCATTAATCTAGCCTGTCCTATGTTTCCTCCATGCCTAACATTAAACTCTTACACTTGTTTTAAACTAATTAGCAGCTCTTATTAACTTACCGCCTCCTTGGCACTTGTGCATTCTCTCATGGGCTAAATTGTCGTACCCTTTCCCGTTTAAAACTTAGAGGGATGGTGGTTATCTTGAGGAGGAAAAGCTCGGCAATTGGGTGCATACGTAACGTAGTTCATTGTTTCCCTTTGCTTGCAAATAGTAATTGTACTCAATTCTTGTTTCTGCTGGCAGATTTGTCACGGTAAACTTGTCAGAAGTTCGCAAGGAGGTGCAATGTCCAATCTGTCTTGGTACGTTACAGAAATTATTTTTCAACTCAATACAGCATGTAAGAGTTGCATGTTCTTCTTTCGTACACCAGGTTCCTGTTCGAAGATATGCACGTCTAAACAAAGTAAACTTAGGCTCCTGGTGAATTGTTGATTAAAGCCGTCTAATTGTTAGTCTTACACATTATATAAGACAACATGAACATACATGAAAGGTTTAGGGTATTGCAACCTATAGAATGACCGTTATCCCCTCTTTTTTGGCAAAATTTTGTACCAGATGCTAAATTTGCGTTAAAGACTCTTAAATCTAGAACTCCTGATAGTATAGTGTTTGAACAGTTGTATTGACTGGATGCTGCCTTACCGGTGCCTGATAGATAACCTTTGTTTTCGGTATCCTTAAGCATGGCATTGTTCTGGATGCTTGTTATCTGGGATCCTTCAGACGGGAGGCTGATGCATTTTTCCATGCTACTCTCCGTTAATAGAAACGTTTGCACTTTCTTTATGTCAAATATGAAAAAAAAAAAGAGTAATTTACCTAATGAAAGTGTTGTTACCATACCATTTGCATCCTTTTCTTGCGGCTTGTATTCTCAGCAGTGACATTTTCATTTCTTCCCCTCGTGCTGATTTTGACTGGCAAATCGTTCGTACATTCATGCATACTCTGCACTTGCCCAGGTATCATCCGGAAGACGAGAACTGTGATGGAATGCCTACACCGTTTCTGCAGGGAATGCATTGACAAATCCATGCGTCTCGGGTATGTTTAGACTTCCACTTCATCGTCGAGCAAAAATCGTTAGAGAATTAAATTCTGTCCTTCAATTGATTTTATAGCTATAGCTTTTCTTGGATCAAAATTTTTAAGTACTAACTTGAGCCAAATTAACATCTTATTGGTTCATATTTCTTGTCGAATGACTATATCCCTGAAGAAACAACGAATGCCCTGCTTGCCGTACCCACTGTGCTAGTCGTCGATCATTGAGAGATGATAAAAATTTCGATAAGCTCATTGCCTACCTGTATCCAGATATTGACAAGTATGAGGAGGAGGTAAGTACTGGCTGGTTGATAAATATGGATAAGATTCTTATGTTTTTGTGCAAAAATTTCATTGTTTGTATTGTATTGCCACAGGAGTTAGCTTTCAGTGAGGCGGACAAGGTTCGCAGTAAGGAGGTAAGTTATCGTGTTGTGGGAACGATAACATGGTTTGAGCTCTTTGAAGTTTCTGCGTTCATATTTCATTAGGGTTTGCATCGGTGAATTGCATTAACAGATGTGCTCTCTCCTTTGACAGATTCAAACAAATATTGCTAAGGCAGTGAAGAGACAAACTGAAGCTGTTGTCAGAAAGAGATCTTCCAAAAAGACAGCAACTGCAGATTCGCTTAGGAAATCCCGACATAACCTTCGAGATAGTTCTGTGAGAGGACAGAGAAACCATCAAACAGATGTCACAAGCGATGATGATGTTGACGGAGTTAGAGATTCATCTTCTGCCGATGAGCGTTATACAGAGATCAGACCCAGAAGAAGCAAAAGGGCTAGAGGAGTTTCCTCGTCCCAACACTCTTCTTCTGCAACTAATAGCTCAGATAGAAGCAGTGATGAAAATAGCTCTGAAGGCGTCAAAGAATCCACGGGAAAAGTCAGTAGGCTTTTGGGAACCTCTGAGAGACTCTCGTGGGGCAAAGGTGGGGCCCGAAGTCACACACGCCATGGGAATGGGAGCTCGGGAAATGCCAAGAACGCACAGAACAACAACAACAACCGTGTTGCTAAGTTGGTGGATTACCTTCAGAACCTGAAAAAGATCGATAAAGAGGTAAACTTTCGCATCTTCAAACATATTTGTTGACCAATGACATTGAACAAAGAGTATCATACCCGTGCAGATGGATATCCACATCATGCTTGTTTCTATGGACGAGAAAAAGATACCGAACTTGCAACAGCCTTACCTTAGTTGCAGACACACTTTAACGGTGAAGTCACTGTGCCGGGTAAAGTATCAACGTCCTAACCAGACACATTTCATTCTTGAGTTTATACGATCTCATGTCGGTGTCAATGCATTTTCAGTACATTGCCCTTCAAAACGCGGCTCAAGCCGACGAGATTGAGATATATGTGGTGAAGGAGTTGAGGTCCAGAGCCATGGAGATCGACCCGAGCCGAGATGAGCTGCAGGCCGTGAACAAGGAAGAGAACCTTGGTGGGCTTAAGATGTATGACTTCCACCATGGTTATGTGGTGAGTGTAGAATCTTCTAGAATCTTCTGCATTGAATAGAATGAACATCAAAATTGGTGGGTTTGATCCATTGGACAGGTTCTTGCCTACCAAAAGAAAGGTTCGAACGAGAACGAGACATGACGAGGCGACAAAAGAGGAAAGGAACATGTAAGAGAGGAAGCTTTACTTACATAGGAATCTTTCGAATGTTTTTGTCCCTTCTTCTGTTGTCAGCAAAGACGATTGATTTATTTATTTTTTGTACAAAATGCGAAGACGATTTTCCTCCTTATAGTTATTTATTTTTCATGTAACAAAATTGCCAGTTTTTGCTGCTGCTTTTTCTCCTTTCATGCAGCAGCAGCCGTGACCAAAAAAAAAAACAAATGGGAACTTTTTTTAAATGTAAATAACGTTCTTCTATTATGATTTTTTTAATGTATATAATTTAATTTTTTTTTTTTGGAATTTTTCTCCATAAAAGTATGTATTATCATACTTTTCAAAAGAAGATTGGAATAATAATGTGGCCCTCCTAATCAAATGGACATTGGAAGACGGCCAATTCGGGTTTCGTTTCGAGTTTGATTCGCTTATATTCAGGTTTGGTTATTACAGTTATAGAAATACTATAACCATTCGGTTTTTATATAAATTTCGGTTCAGTTCGGTTCGGTTTCAGTAAAAAGTTTATTTTTTTAAAGAAATTGTCGGTTTTTTCGGTTATTTTTTTATTCAGTTCGGTTTCGGTTTTTTCGGGTTTAAAGAAATCATAACCGTTCAGATTTGATGTCGGGTTCGGTTCAGATACGGTTATGTCTTATTCGGTTCGATTATTCGGTTAATAATCGAAATGACCACCCTATTTGATGAAGAAATAAAATTTAAAACAAAAGAGTAATTACAAAAATCACCCCATCAAATGATTTACCATCTTTAACCATATTTATCAAGATTATAACATATTTCACATCAAAACCATGATACAGAAAACATATTCGTTAGAATTATAATAAATCATGATAAATCTAAATAAACTCGTATATTTTATAAAAGGGTTTTAATCGATATACATCTATATATAAACCTTCCTATAATAATGTATAATATATATATATATATATATATATAAATCTTCCTATAATAATGTATAAAACATTTCATTAAACCTGTACTAAGAGATGCAGTCTCTTTGACTTGGACTTACCTTAGTGTGTCCTGAACTTCGCAACGTATCCCTGCAAAGCCAAAAATAAAAATTGTCGGATTTAAGGCAACACAGTACAGGAATTAGACATAAACCCTAGCTAAGAATCCCACCTCAACAAGCTTCACAATCTTGGTTTGGGAAACCGAAAGATACTGCTCAATGGATTCAGTATCGGTCGGAACTTGGTGGAACTGTACGGCCGTTCTAATCACCTTTTCCGCTGCCATTTTCACTGTCCTGTTATGCGCTTCTTTGCTTAGCCGGCCTTCTCGCCATATTGGTTTCAGCATTTCTTTGATTGTGTCGATAAGGGCGGTCCGGAAATGGCTCATTCCTTTCGTCCCTGCACCGGTCCGACCCTCTCTATCTTCTCTCGAGATCTTTATATTCGACGACATGTCACTTTTCTGCCAAGAATCGTACCCTCCTCCGGTAGCTTTGCTTCTTTTCGGGACGGCTTTGCAATAATTCTCATTCTCGGGTGTAGTCTTGTTCTGTTCAACCACGGAAGTTGCCACCATCTCTACGAAATGCAGTTCAGATTTCTTTTCCGGAACAGCTTCTTTGTATTGATTTTGACTGCAAGAACTGCCATTGACATCATCATTGCATTCTTCGTCTCGAGGGCCGCTCACAGAATCACCATCTCTGCCACGGTGGTGCATTTTTCCCTCCTCTTCACCTTTACTCGAGAAAAAAGTATCGATAAAACTGTCTTCTACTGTCTGTACATCCATGCCGTCAAGAAAGAGGTCATATATGGTACCATATGCAGGAAGTATTGAAGATGGAATGGTGAAAGATGGGCGGAAAGGTTCAGAAGGCTCCCAATCATTTGAAGAAATTTTCGCTTTCTTATTCGCAGTTTCGCCTTCAGGATCTTGACGAGAAGAAACAGAAAGGCCTTGAAACCCCAAAAGCGTTCCCAATCCGTAGAATTTATTCTTATTCTCAAACTGCCTCTGAGCACCAGAAGGAGAGGCGTGAAAAGAGTTACCGGAAGAAGCTGAATATCTATGCTCGTGAATGAAGCTGCTTCTAGGATTGGAGGGTTTGCCGTTATTACAAACTAAGGACCTGTTCTCAAGGCCATCGGCTCCGACATTTTGCTTCAGTCTCTCTCTACCCATGTCCTTTGATGATGAGATAAACCCGATATGCTCATTGTAAGACACAACTCTTGACTGACAAGCTATTCCTCTTACTCTATTGTCTGATGTTGTTCTTTCTGAAGAAACATAAGGAAAACAAACTACAGGTTGAACGATGAGCGTGAATTTAATCCACAGAGGTAATTATTCACAAATCAATACCATGATGCTGGAAAGGAAAATTTATCTCGGTAGATTACTCACCTTCACAAGGCCGAGCTTCACTGCTTCCAGCTAAATTGTTTCCTCCCTGTTGCCGGCTAGTGTTATTTAAAGTATCTTTCACATGAAGAAACCTACAGGACTTCCCTCTGATGCACCACCCTTTGGCAAAGAATTCACAAGCAATTTCTGCGCGTTTTCGTTGAGGTTCCTTCATTTCGCCACCAGGGGAAAAGCTTCTCAGCCTTATTTCAGGTGCAGGAAATCAGAAAACTAAAACTGTCAATGAGAATTGGTTAAAGCTTGAAAAAAAAAGGAATATACAGAAAGTTAATGTCTGAACAGTAAAGTGTAATGCCTATGCTAAACTATGTCTTGCCAGGGAAAAAAATTGCGGCCGAAATTGCTACACCTTGATCTTTTTCCGCATTTGTCGTCTTCAAACTTGATATTGCTTCGGTTTTTCCCAGAACTACAGGCGGCATTGGAATTCCGAGACCTGCCAGCACTGCCTGGAACAGAATCAGAACCATTTTCTCCAGCAGGGTTAACGAAACCCGTGTTCCCTGGTTTCGTGCCGATATTTTCATCTTCCGCCTTGATCTTGCTTGGCCTGTCCCCAGAAATACAAGCTCCATTGGATTTTTGACCCGTGCCAGATCGGCTCGGAACAGAATCAGAAGTCTTTTCTCCAGCTGCATTACCAGTCCTTGTGTTCCGAAGACTAACCAACGCAACTCTAGGCTTGTCATCGTTTTCCAGACTTAGATTGTTAACTTGTAAATTTCCTGTTGGCCGCTCAGAATCCTTATCACTTACACATGATTCATGGGCTTCTCTCTCTCCGGCCGAAGCCGGTTCCTTCACCGAGTTTTCGAAGCTTAGACATGTATCCTTTACTGTTGTCGATTGCTCGTCAGAAGGTGGGGCTGTCTTCAACACTCCATCATCAGAATTGGATTCGGGACATGAGCTGAATCCTTCTGGCCTGGAAGTACATGAAGCCAAGTGTCGATCCAATCTATTGAACTTGGAATCTCTTTCAACATCTGCATTACAAAAGTAAAATCATGAGAAGAGAAACAGACGTAACCATCTCCGAGCAACAACGCTAAACATATGGGTTCTTGCAAGGAACATGGGATGGTTCAGTTTTCGATCAAGTTCTTGTCTGAAATCATCAAGTTCTTGAGTTGTTTTCGATCAATCAATCACCAGTTTGACTGCCTAAGGACACTAACCTTTTTGGAAAACGGAAGATCTACTCGGTGAAGTACTAGATTCATCCACATCCTCATTCGCCGGTTCTTCCTCCTCCTCCTCCACCAACTCTTCCTCAATCGCTTCCTCTTCCTCTTCCTGGGGATCCTCTTCCTCTTCCTCTTCCTCAATCGCTTCCCATTCCTCAGGATCCTCTTCCTCTTCCTCTTCCTGGGGATCCTCTTCCTCGATCGCTTCCTCTTCCTGGGGATCCTCTTCCTCTTCCTCAATCACTTCCTCTTCCTCGGGATCCTCTTCCTCTTCTTCGGGGTCCTCTTCCCAATTCCCCTCCTCCTCTACTTCCACCTCTTCCTCTTCGAACTCAATTTCCTCAGCATCCATGGCGGAATCGGAGACGGGTCCCTGCCTCTCCATCGGCGCAAACACAGACATCGTATTAGTTGCCACAATGCAATACGACATCGTATTGTTTTCTCGATTGGGCCCATCATTTTGGTCTGCTTTTTAAAGGCCCATATTACAAATGGGCCACTTAAATTAATGGGCTTCATAACATGACCTATGTATATAAAAATTAGGGGTGTAAAACGAGTTGCGGATCGCAGGCCGGCTCGTAAATCGACCCATATTTTTCCGAACTGGACTAAAAAAAATTAAATTTTTTTAATATTTTTATATATTTTTAAATATTTTTATATACAAATTATATTTTTTTATTACATATTTAGTTTGTTTTTGTTTAAAATTTTATTTTTTTATTATATTTTAAATATTTTAAATATTTTTTAAATATGAAAATTAGTTTTATATATTTTTTAATATTAAAGTTTTATTTATGGTAGTAAGTCAGGGGAATGCTCCAAGAATATGACACCCAACAACTCGTATCAGATTCATCGTGAGTGGTAAAAACGGATAGGCCTAGCTTCCACGTAATGTCAAAGAGATGGAAAACTCAGAATCATGTTCTTTCATAGATGTAAGAGCTCATGGGGCATAACAAGTTCCAAAGAGACTCATGGCACTGTAACAGACTCAGAAGAAAAACTATAAGTTATCAAGGAACATTTGTTATTCACATTTGTGAGTGATTTATATGTGTCATTACCTAATGCTAATTCACAAAGCCATGTTCCATTCAAGATGCTTGCCGGAAAAAAAAACACGAGATAAGTTGGTAAACTCGTTCAACAATCATGATTCCTTCATTTAAATCAGTGTGAAACAATTCAAGTAATAGAGAAGAAGAAAACCAAGAAAGCAAAATGAAGCATACTCCTTCAGTGCTCAAGATCCTAGCAGCACAATGCAATCGCGGACCGACTCGTTTGCATGGGCGGATCCAGCTCTTTAGCAGTGGGGTCACAGGCCCCCACCCTTTTTTTTAAAACAAAATATTTTCTTTACAAAATTTATAAAATTTTACACAAATTATTATATGCCCCCATAAAATAATTAAAATTACTATTATGAAATTAACTTTGCCCCCAATCATAAATCTTTCTGAGTCCGCTACTGCTCGTTTGGTTCACGGGTTAAGACGATATGGGCTGGACTGATATATTTTTGGCTCACTAAAAAACGGGCTGGGTTGGGCTGGACTAAAAAAATTTTAGATGAAACGAGTCGGGTTGGGTCGGACCGGGCCAGTCCGTTTTACACCCCTAATAATATTAAGAATAACCGAAGATTTAAAATTAGTGATTTAATTTAATTTATTATTGTTCTCATGAAATGTATAGGATTTTAACATTTAATCACTGAGGCAAAGTGATGAAGAAAAGAAAAAGATAGTTCTCATAGATAAAAAGAAAAATAAAATCATATATCGTAGGGGTGTAAAATGGGCAGGTTGAGTCGGGTTCGGATCAGACTTAATTCGGGCAGTAGATTTTTTCGGGTCGGGCCGGTTCATCCATTTATTTTTTGGACCTATGATTGGAGGCTCGGTGGCCTGCAGCCTGACTCTATAGGGTTTTGGGCGGGTTTGAACCGGGTTTCGAATTTTTTCTATTTAACAAAAAATAAATACTAATGCATAATAATAATAATAATAATAATAATGTTGAGTTATTTAGCAATTTAAAAAAAATCAACAATAGCAAATTTTCATCCGTATCAATTACAATAAAAAACTTTTAAATCTAAAAAATAATCTAAAAATAATCATATAAATTTTAAAATACATAAATTATCTAATATTTTTAATATATATAATATATAAAAAAAGATATTCGGTACACTAAAAAATATAGAAAAACATCGAGGTGGAACATAAAAATCAAATTAAACTCATAATATATATATCTAAATTAAACCAAAATCTAATCAAACCGTTCAATAATATATAAAAGATATAAATAAAAGTTTTTATATAATATTGTGGGATATCAAATCACGAATGAAAGTAGAAATCTAATAATATAATTTTTTTGGGCTAAATGGATGGGTCGGACGGATTTCGGGCCGAACTCGATTCAGGCCTAAATTTTTTCGGACCGGTCCGGTCCGTCCATTTATTTAACGGGTCTATATTATTAGAAATAAGCCTTTACTTTTTCGGACGGGTTTCGGACTGGATTTTGGACTTTGGGTTCTATTTGCATATTCTCTTTTTAAAATTTAAAGATGTGGAAGGAAATACATATAAAATTATCGCATCCCCAGTTTTTATATAATAAAATATATGTAGGAGTGCCTAAACCTGCGGGTTTTCGATTACCCGGTCTCGCAGGTACTCAAAACACGGGTATTCGCTATACAATGAAAACGAAAACGAGTTCGATGAAGCAAAAAATTTGGACCGCGAGTTTGAGTTCGAGTTTTGTTTGAACGGCGACGGGTACTTTCGGATATCCAGATTTGAATAAAATGATGATTATATCCTTAATATTTTAATATATTTATAATAATTATTAAAAATATTTGTATATTAAATTACTAAAATACCTTTAAAATCAACAAAAGTCAATATTTTCCTATGATTTTGATGGTTCGGATACCCACGGGTTGTTGAATTCGGCGATGGATATCTGAGCCGTAGTTATCTAAATTTTACAAAAACGAAAACGAAATAATCTTTTTTTTCAAAATCCATGAAGACGAAAACGAAATTTGAATATCCAAACAATTAGAATAACCGATCCGTATCCACCATCTCTATATATAGAAGCAGATGTACCTAACATACTTTGATAAGGGAAATTTGTATATAAGATAAATCAATAATAAGCTCAAATTAATATTATATATTAAAACTATATATAATTCGACCAAACTATTCAATCCAATAATTCTTAATTTGATATAAATATATAATAATAAATCGAATTACATCATTCATAGATATATTTAAAGGGATAGAGCAGCTAGGAGTATAACACAAACTATAACCTCCCAACATATAAAATATCAATTGGGTGAACTATGAAAATTATATAAATACAATTTATAAAATTCATGAAAAAAAAAAGTGTAGTGGCCACAACTTTTATGGATAGCTTTTATGCCCCCGACGATTGCGCACCAATCCATGCTACAAAGCCCCAAAAAAAAAGTCAAAGGTCAAAAAGTCAAAACTTCAAGACAGAGAGCTCAAGATGCGATCTCAGCCGTCCGATCAGAAGCCGTCCGAAGATGAGTATGGAGGGCATTTCGTCATAATAATTAATGGTCGGGCTTGCTTGATGCGGAATGCAACATCCCCGATTTCCTGGCCCGTGAATGTTCGTCCGTCACGTGCCAACTCTTTTGTCGTCTTATCCACATTTAAATTAATCATCGCAATTATTATTATTATTACAACCAACTATTTCAATTTAACTAATTTTACCGACTTCATACACCCAAAATGTTGAACGATTTAGATAGGAGTGGTGGTTGAATTTATTCGACTTTTGGAAATTCGATTTTATCCAAAAATGGAATATCTTGAAAAATGAAATATTTAGTTAATTAATCATATGTTTGAAATCTAATTTCATTAGTTCAGTCTTTTACCGTTGCACTAAATCAGAGACGAAATAGAATTGATTTTAATATACAAAATTTAAAGATGCCAATTAGTAATTGAATATCATTTAAGATATTTCGTGATCTATTGAAAAAATTTTATTTGATCGATGAAATATGCATAGTTAAGTTTTGGTTTTTTGTTTTCAACCGTAGAGTATTTAAGAATATCCAACTAATTACAAATTATATTTAAATTTTGTTGAAAATAATGACATTATCATTAAATAATTAATGATCAAATTTAGGGTTTCATCACATAGAAAATTATGATATTAAAAAATTGAATATCCACCAACGATAAATTCAAAATGAATAAAAACTATAAAAAATTTTAAATTTATAAAATGGTGGAATACAAAATTTTAAACTTTTTATTAGACAAATTTATTTTCAAACTTGTAAAATATATCATTATAATTATCAAACTTGTAAAATATATTATTATAATTTTCAAATTTATTAATTAGTGTTAGAAAAAATATTGACATTGTTGATTCAAAAATTAGTTTGAGATTTATAATAATACATTTTATAAGTTTAAAAATTATAATGACACATTTTAAAAGTTTAAAAATAATTTTGTTAGGCGAAAAATTTAAAATTTTATTTTTATCATTTTTTATTGATTTTACGCATTCAAAATCGTATATTTCAAAATTATAGACATTCGTATATATGTACCATTTTTAAAACCGAGAGAATAAATATAAATAAGAATTGTAGAAATTATAATTTGAATATTCTAAATCCTACATAAATATGTGATATTACATTAGTAATATATTGCATTTAAACATTGTTATAGAAACTCAAATCTATTTGTTATTTAATTTAATACACCAGAACGTGTTCTTGGACCACTAAATTCTCACACTGCCATCCATTGCTGTTAGTGTCAATGGGAATGAGGCTTGCGTTCACAACGCCGTCATCTAGATCTAACGGTCACAAGAAGGCCATCACTCCACACTGAAACGTACGCGAACCGTCCGATGAGAATATACATCATTATCTTCGATGCGCCTCACACCACGTGATTACTGCCAATATTCTTCCTCCGTAAGAAAAAAACAGAGGAGAAAAAAAAGGAGCATTTAATTTAGTTAATTAATATTTGCAGCTGAAATTATTTTTACCTGCACTCACGTCCTGCTCTCTCTCTCCCCATCCCTCTTTCTCTCTCTACAAAAGTTGCGAAAGAGACCTCCAATGGCGGAATGAGGTTCTGGAGAGATTAGTGGAAGACTATAGAGTGGAGAAAAGAGAAGCATTGAGCTCGATTCTCCGAGGAAATCGAGTAGAAGCTCGAAGATGCTTCGATTCGCCATCGCGTGTCTTGTCGTTTTCTCATTCGGTCTCTCAACTTCTTCAGCTCGACCAGGTTTGTTTCACTCATTGCCTTCTCGTTTCGCTTGCTTTTGTGGAGTGGTTTCTCCGAATCTCAACTTCGATTTTTTTAATCTGATTCAGTTTCCTTTGCGGTCTTTCCTTATTTCCAATTCGGTCGATCCATGTTCTGTAATTTCGGTTCAAATTTGTTGTTAGGAGACTGCAAACCTTTTGATCTCAAATTCAAAGCGACATTTGAAAGCTGGCAAGCTAGATTCTGGGAATAATGGCTGAAAAGATAGGATTTGAAATTTATTGACAAAATCTCGTTAGCTGCTTTGGTTTTGGGTGCTGAATTTAGTTAGTTGGTAGTCTTGGTCCCAGTGGTATTGGGGACTGCTTATCTTGCCGGTTTCGCATCTCGAGCTTCAGGGAAATGCCTAGTTGTGTGTAGTATTTTACTTCTGGGTTTTAGCGCATAAGCTTAATTACAGACGGGGGAGTTATTTTGTGATATAGTTTCATTTGAATTTGCCAAATTACTCCTTGTAATTGATATTTTAGGAAACAACGTTGCATGGGACTGTGAATCATCTGGTTTATGTTGATTTCAGAGCTCTGACACGGGGGATTTAAGTTCTTGTAATGAGGTTAATCTCTGTATTCTTCGTGAGCTCATTGAATATTTTCTTGAACTGCAGCGCCATATGCCCTGCGCATCAGCTGTGGAGCGCGTCAAAATGTCCGAACTCCACCAACTTATGCACTTTGGTTCAAGGATATTGCATATACAGGGGGCATCCCTGCCAATGCTACGCCTCCTAGTTACATTACTCCTCCTCTGAAAACGCTAAGGTATTTCCCTCTTTCCGGAGGCCCTAATAACTGCTACAATGTTGTGAGGGTGCCAAAGGGACACTACTCTGTCAGGATCTTCTTTGGGCTAGTTAATCTTCCGAATTTTGATAAAGAACCTCTCTTCGACATATCCATCGAAGGGACTCAAATATTGTCATTGAAATCTGGTTGGAGCCGTCATGATGACCAAGTATTTGCTGAAGCCCTCATGTTTCTTTTGGACGGCACAGCTACAATCTGCTTCCATGGTACTGGTCATGGAGACCCTGCAATCCTTTCTATAGAAATTCTCCAGGTCGATGATCAAGCATACAATTTTGGTCAAGGTTGGGGCCATGGAATGATCCTCAGAACAGCCACAAGGCTGACTTGCGGTACGGGGAAGCCTAGATTTGATGAAGATTACAGCGGGGATCACTGGGGTGGTGATAGGTTTTGGAACCCCGTTAGAACTTTCGGTGAGAATACTGATTCTCCAATATCAACTGAAAATACAATTAAACAAGCTTCAAGCCCACCCAACTTTTATCCCGAAGCACTTTATCAGACAGCACTTGTCGGTACTGATAATGAGCCTGACTTGACATATAGTATGGATGTAGAACCCAACAGAAACTATTCGATATGGTTGCACTTTGCGGAGATCGACGCTACAGTCACTGGTGTTGGAAAAAGAGTGTTTGATATAGTGATAAATGGTGACACCGTCTTTGAAGACATAGATATCATAAACATCAGCGGTGACCGCTATGCAGCACTTGTTCTTAACAAAACTGTCACCGTGAGTGGGAGAACCTTGACCATTGTTGTACGGGCTAAAGAAGGTAGCCATGCTCTTATCAATGCCATTGAGGTCTTTGAAATCATAACGGCGGAGTTCAAGACATTTCGAGACGAAGGTAAACATTCTTTAATGGACGCTAATAAAAGCTTGCTCATCCTATATTCCTTGATTGCCTGAACTGATTCTTCCTGCCTAATTTGTGCCTGTGTAAGAAGATGAGATGTTAGTTTCTGTCATTCCCATTTGAGAGAAAGGTCTATTCACATTGGTGGTAATCAAGCTAGGTTTACAGTATCGATTGGAAAGATTTTTACTGTGTTTTATGGATCTCATTCTTCTAGCCCTTTTATGAGCCAGTGGTTACAGTGAATCTTATGGAAAGTTGCCTAACTTGGCCTTCTTTTATATCGCAGTCAGCGCTTTACAGAAACTGAAAACATCATTAGGGCTTCCTTCGAGGTTTGGATGGAATGGTGACCCATGTGTTCCCCAACAACATCCATGGAGCGGAGCTGATTGTCAGTTTGACAAGAACAACAGCAGATGGTTCATCGACGGACTGTATGGCTCCTTTCCCTTGCTTCACACATTCACACACTGCATATTTCACGATATTCCCTGGTTTTAATGAAAGAAGCCTTGAAAGAAGCACAGTCGCTTTAGTATGATCTTAGATTTTTTTTTATGCTGGAAAATAGAAGGCAGCCGATTTCATGCTGAGGTAGTTGAAGTACTTAATGCAACTCCACATGGTCAGATACAAATACATTTGCATTAAACCGAGATATGAATGCTAGCCTTGAACTTTCTTTCATTTTTTGCTACTTGGTAATCAGAGCTGAAAAGATATCTCTTCTTGATTCTGGTCTTTCATCATGTGAAAATATTCATACTTAAAAAGTTATGAAACCTATACTAATAGGGAAATGAACAAGCAGGGTTACAGAATCTAAAACCCGTCCAAATCATGGGCCGACATTGTTTTTTCGCGTTGGTCGGTTAAACGAGTCGTCAGTAAGGTCTTCTCCAATCGTTTTGGTTAAAACTCGATATGATTATTATCATAGTTGCCCCCATTAAAGAGCCTCTCAGTATTTTGCTACTGTGCTTTGTTCTTCCACATGGTTTTAATATTTTGCTATTGTATTTCTCTTGGTCTATTGAATCGATTCAAACTCATATATCTTGCAGTGGTCTTGATAACCAAGGGCTGAAGGGTGTTCTTCCGAGTGACATATCAAAGCTACGGCATCTGCAGAGCATGTAAGTCATATATATATTATTTAGAATCATATTGAAATTGCTTGTTTTGGGCATTCACGATCAGACAAATGTAATCTTCTGCACAATTTCAATTGTTTGTTGAACAATTAAGTAAGCATAAAAATGAGGAATCGTGCTAATGGTTTAATTTTTTTTGGATTTGTGTTATAGAAACTTGAGTGAAAACAACATTCATGGAGGAATTCCCGCATCAGTTGGAAACATTACGAGCTTGGAAGTATTGTAAGTATTCAGTTCTGTTCGGTTCTTTCCCTGAGCTTATTTTCACTAACTTTTTTTTTTCCTATTCAAAATCAAAGACGTAAAATTGGTTTGTGAAGAAATTCCAAGCAAAAACTCAACAGTTTTGATGAAAGCTTCAATGCCTTTTAGATTAAATGTCATAATCAAACCTAGAACACGTTAAAGGGTCGTGGAGAAGACGGAGATATTATGTATGCAAACTAGGGGTGACCATTTCAGGTTTTTATTCGGGTTTGGTTTTTGTTGATAAAGCATACTCATTTTTCAAAGAAAATTTCGTATTTTTGTTATATTTTTTATTCGATTCGGTTTGGATTCGGTTTTTCAGGTTTCTATAGAAGTCATAGCCATTCAGTTTTTATATCGAATTTGATTCGATTACAGTTATGTATTATTCAGTTATTAACCAAATTGGTCACCCCTAATACAAACGCAATGATCTTATTTCCTAATGATTTTGTCGATGTTATTTTGCAGGGACCTCTCGTACAATTTTTTCAATGGATCTATCCCCGAAACCTTAGGACAGTTGACGGCCTTGCGAATTCTGTAAGATTTTTTTTACTCACTGTAAAGAGACAGATATCTATCTGAAACCTAAACTCCGCTCTCACATTTCAGGAATCTCAACGGGAATTCATTGTCAGGGAAAGTTCCGGCGACTTTAGGCGGAAGGCTTCTGCATAGAGCAAGTTTCAAGTATGAATAGCAGGAAACAATATGATAACCTACTTCTTTTCCTTTTTTTTCATGAAATATACGAGTTTCCGGATGGGTAACTGTTCATTTTGTTTCTGCAGTTTCACGGATAACAAAGGTCTATGTGGAATCCCGGGACTTCCAGCATGCGGGCCTCACCTATCGGCCAGAGCCAAGATCGGGATTGCATTCGGTGTTAGTTTAACGTTTTTGTTGATCGTTTCATGCGCGATGATATGGTGGAAACGACGGCAAAATATCCACCGAGCACATCAAATGGCAGGTAATAAGCTTTACATACATGCATATACACATCTTCCAAACCCCGAAAAGGGGCTAATATTAGTTTTGGTCATTTCAGGTTTCAGTTTCTGAAAAGCTATAACCATTTGGTTTTTTATATCGAATTTGGTTCGGGTTCGATTTGGATTCGATTTTTATTGATAAAAATACTCATTTGTCAAAGAAATTTTCGGTTTTTTCATATCTTTTTTATTCGGTTTGGTTCGGTTCAATTTTTTCGTTTTTAGAGAAATCTTAATCATTCGGTTTTTATATCGGATTCGGTTCGGTTACACTGATGTGTTATTCGGTTGGACTAGTCGGTTATTAACCAAATCAATCACCCCTAGTTAATATAGATTCTTTCAAAAACTAAACTAAACTAAACGTTTTCAATTCCGATTTTCTGGAAATTTTTGCAGCTAGAGGATCTGCATATGCCAAAGCAAGAACCCATCTGTCCCATGACATTCAGATGACTCGGCATCAAACCCATGGAAATGCTCGTACCGCCGTCGAGAATGGCCCGAGCCTTTTGTCGTGATTACCCGAAAATCACGAAAACCCGAATCCCCGACCCGATACTTTTTTTCTCTTCTCTCCCGTAAACGGTTCTGCTGCTTTAGCCGTCACCAAGGGAAAAGAACAAAGGAGGTAAGAAGTAGACTTTGAATCTTCTTTGTTCTGCCTCTATGGGAACAAAAGAGGAAATACATGTTTTTGTACATTTGTCTTGATTTCTTTACAAAGCAAAACTATAACCAGTTTTAGCAATAAATAGAAGTAGGAATTGATTTTGTAATATTTTTTTTACCCTTCACTTTTACTGTTTGTGGTGTTTTGTTTTTTTGTTCATGGGTTCCTAAGGGAAACTACAAGAGACTTTGTGGAGGCTAATGTGTAAGATGAGAGTGAGAAGAACAAAAAAGAAAAAAAAAATTCAAAAGAAACCTTCAATTTTTAAAATGATCATAAATAAATTTCCCAACTATTTATAAATTCTGATCTTTAAAATCCATCAAAAAAAAATTACGTTTAAAAACATTTATTTAAAACCTAAATTATTCAAAAATCCAAATAAAATATAAAATTTTATTAAAATACTTAAATGTTATTCTAATTTTTATTAAATTATGGGGTAATCGCATAAAAATACCCGAATTTTCATAAAAATCCCAAATAAATATCCGAACTATAAAATTGTCATATAAATATCTGAACTTTTCAAAACTTCCACATAAATACCCAAACTTTTAAATTTTTTCCAAATCAAACAAACGCAACTGGTGACTCAGCAAAAAACTGCTGACTCAGCATTCAAAATATATATATATATATATATATATATATATATATTAAAAATAAAATTATTTATAATTAATAAAACACATATACACATAACTACAATATATATATATATATAATTACTAATGCATATATGTTACAATAAAAATAATTATAATTAAATTTATTATTAAAAATAATAATAATGCATTATTATTATTTTAAAAATAATAATGCATAATTATTTTTATGCATTATTATTTTCATCGATGACGATTGACCTGCAAACCAAGAAAGCAAACCGCAGAGACCGAACCTCGACCAAGAGAAAGATAAGTATTCGACATCCTAACTCTGATTCCTTTAAGTTGTTCACAGATTTTAGGGTTTCGCTTTGGGATTAGATTTCATGTTCATATGTTATTGCATGAGTATACGTTACACACGCACACACATTTGCACAGATGAATTATGAGTTCAGATCACTCGATGTGAGTGAGTCTACGTCTCGGCAGGTTTCCAATCACCGGAAAACCAGAGTCCATCTACTATAATTAACAAGAGATACGCATACATACATGTTACATCTCTTTACCGAGAACTTACAACACGTACTCTTCCATTGTTTCAGGTAAGCGCCAAGAAGCCATACTCCAGAAGGTTGCTTTCAACGATTCATGAAGAACTTCAGGTATCTTCTTTGAGAACTCCAGGTCTGAGACCTCTTTCTTGTATCTCTCTTTCAGGTGAGATTTCTCGCCTTTGTTCTTGAATCTGTAACCCCTTTGGCTTTTATAGAAAAGCTCAAAATGGTCCAAGTAACGTATTCTCTTGTAACAGAATACCAAACTTCAGTTTCAGATCTTTAATCAAATCTTGACTTCAAATCTGAGCCTTTGATCTTGAATCAACATTCGACAATAATGTTAAATTTATAGTGATCACACTAATTCATTATGTTCATACATTATATATCTTACTAATCATTTGATTAAAACATCATAAATTTAACGCTATGAGCTATGAGATCAATATGTGACCATACTATATTTCGGATCACATGGTCACAGTTAGAGAAGGGTATATGTTGAAGTCAAAATAACAAAATAAGGGTATTTTTTATAATGGCCCCATTAAAAGGGCATTATATCAAAAATACACTTACTTTGCTATTTTTACTTCAACACATACATTTCTCCAACTGTGATCATATGATCCATGTTATCCAAAATATAGTGTGGTCGTATTTTGATTTTATTGATTATAACGTTAAATTTATGGTGATCACACTAATTCATTATGTTCATACTTTGTATATCTTACTAATTATTTGATTAAAACATCATAAATTTAATATTATGGACAATGGGATCATGATGTGATCACACTATATTTCGGATCACATAGGTCATATGGTCACAACTGGATAAGGGTATGTGTTGAAGTCAAAATATCAAAATAAGGGTATTTTTGATAATGCTCCATTAAAAGCGGATAGTTTATATAGATTTTTTTAATTGAATTAAATATTTCTTCATTTTATTTTATATAGTTTCTAAAATCTTATATCGATGAGGCATAATATGATATAAACTTTTATTAGCACATGTGATTATTATATTCGTGTGGATTTTCAATTTTAACTTTAAACAAATATTGATGTTTCAAGAAAATATACAAAAAAAAAACTTAATTTGTATTAACTTTCTAAAAATAATGAATATTCTAAATAAAAATTACAATAAAAGTATGAAGAACTTTTTGTTTACTTAAAAATTGTTAGTTTAAGTTTTTCAATATAATTGGTATGAAGTCTAGACGAATTACTATGAAACAATTAGTTTCCAAATATCAAGAACGAAAATATTAAAGAAGAAAACAAAATAGGGTAAAAACCAGAATTATCTAAAATTTCTATGATTTACATTTCCTGTAAAGTTATGTCATGACACTCTTACGAAATATATTGTAGATACAACGATTTACATTTTCCGTAAATCAGAGTTTTTGAAGAAGAGAGCTAATTTATGGATTCATTGTATCTCTGTCTGTAACTAAGACTGTTTAATAATATTCGTTTGATATATATTATTTTATTGTATTTTATTTATTTGATATAAATCTATATAATTAATAATATATTTAATCTCAAAATTTCATTGTTTTGTAAGCAAATATTCTAAATTTTGAGATAAATTGATATATTACATCTTTCGACCGACCTTGATCTTCTGAGAATGGTTCGAGTGTGGACATGTCTATCGAGACTCGAAAGATGGTGAACTATGTCTGAGTGAGGCATAGCTAGAGGAAACTCTGGTGGAGGTCCGCAACGATACTGCATAAATCGTTCATCTGATTTGGGTATAGGGGCGAAAGACTAATCGAACTATTTAGTAATTGTTTCCTCCGAAGTTTTCCTCAAGATACTGGAGAGTTCGGGTGCAAGTTCTATCGGGTAAAGCCAATTATTAGAGGCATCGGGGGCGCAATGCCCTTGATCTATTCTCAAATTTTAAATAGGTAAGACGGGGCGACTGTTTTGTCGAGTCCTCGAGAAACGTTTAATCAAGTAAAGCATATTTATTATTATTATTTTTTAAAAAAAATATTAATTGGATATATATATATATATATATATATATATTATACACTAGAATTATCTAGAATTTCTATGATTTGTCTCTTTAATTCTAAAACCATTAATATTCAAATCTAAAAAGTTCTGTTTTTTTAAAGATATAACAAATTATGTATATCCAAAAAACAAGGAAAGAAGGAAACAAAAGAAAAAAAACAAAATTAGTTTTAAAATGTACAACTATGGTGTTTCTGAAAAATCATATGCTTAACCATAATTCAAATATCTTTGGATTTCAATTTCTCAATTATTGTCCAGAAGAAAGATTGTATCATGAAATGTTTTTATAGGTAATTATGTTCAATTATAAACGGATATTTTTAAATCTTACACATGATTAATTACAAATTACAACTCGCATAAATTTAAAATTAAATTTAAAATTACACTATCCAATAAAATCAATTTTCGGTACTACTTTTGTATTATATGTTTCTGCCCAAACCAGAAAATAAATAAACACATTATTTTGACCAGGTCAGCATCAGGTGAGCCGAGGGAGTAAATAAATTATTTCCGTAGATATTAAATAACGAAAAAAAATTATAAAATACGAATTTTTGTAAAGTGAAAGACATGAGGTGCGGGGCGTGAAATTCACGCGCCATCATGTTCCCCGTCACGTGACAAAAGCCTTTGCTCCTCCTCCAGTCTTCGTCTTTGATTGAACAATGCATCAGTCCGATCATCTCGAAATTTTTAAACACAAAAAAGGTGAAATTTTTTCCACACGTGCGCATGACGTCATAATTGTAGGGACTGTCCGCACTAAATTTAATAAATTAATTAAATAATTTTTGAAATTTCATTTTCGTTGGTAAAATAAAATATTATCATTTTTTAATAATAATAAAAGCCTTCACGTGACCATGTGTCAGTCATCTGTAGGCAGGCTGTCAGCCATTCAGCCTTCACAATATATACACAAATTTGACGACATAATTATATAAACAAATAAATATTAAAACTTGAAATAATTTATTGTTTATTATTTCTGAAAATAAATAATATTAGTAAGTTTAACGTTCTACGAAATCAATTTTATTCCGGCGTAATTTGAACTCGGATGGTTTATTAAAATTATTTATTTAAAAATTACTCAATTTTATAAATTTTAAATATTTTATTTGAATTTTTAACTAATTTCATTTAATTTTACAAAAATAAAATTAATTTCCTAATTTAAAAAAATCTAACTAAATATTGGTTCAGGTACTCGTGCACCGTATCGATGACGTGTCAAAAAGTAATTCGATGCGAAAGTGAATTTCCAACAATATCCAAAGGAAGAGGACAAATGGTCAAATGAAAGAATTTCTTGAATATTATGACCAACCAGAAGACGACACGTCATCAGAAACATCATACTCTTGTTTTTCATTATTTGCGTATGCGATGCATCTCTGATCCTGCACTCGATTCTCATCCATCTACTATGTGGTCCTCTCTCTCTCTCTCTACTTCGTACATATAGATACATATATACATGCGTGTAGAGATGGACGTTTCAGTATCTGGTTTGGATTCAATTCGGGAATATTTTGGTTCGGTTTTTTCGGTTTTGCAAAATTTTGTACCAATCGATTATTATTTCATATCCGATTCGATTCGTTTTTTATTTTGTTTTAATTCGGTTTTTGTTTTATTAAAAAAATAGATTTTTAAAATAAATTTTCGATTTTTTTAAAGTTCGGTTCGGTTTTGAAAAATTCAGTTTTCTCGAATTTTATACGATTCAATTCAGAAAAAATACCGTATTTTTTGTTCGATACTTTTCAATCCTGAAGAACCGTAGCAAAACGTCACATGTGTGTAGAATTCATAACACATATATGTGTATATATATGTATATAATATAAGACAATTTGAAACTAATTAACAAATCTTGGAAACCCTAATTAAGAAGAGTTTTTTTTTTTTGGATGTGGGGTTACGTTTTATGTGTATATGGGATTAGGGTTACGGCAGCACTGTTACTATTGCATGGACAAAATATATCATTCTTGGAAATTTTGGAACCCTAATTATTTAATATCTAATTATTGCATGTAGAAGACAAGCAGCAGCTACATAGATCATGTGAATCTAGTTTTTCGACATTTCAGATATATTTTTTTTTGTTTTTATGCTTGCAAAAGGAATGTGTGTTCTATATGTTTTTGGATTTTTATAGCCGATTGGACCGTCTTTATATATATATATATATATATATTGTTTATTACATATTTGATGTATTGATTTTACGTGTTATCTTGGCTAGTGCATCATTATATATCTCATAAAATAACGAGAAACGTTTAATCAAGTAAAGCATATTTATTATTATTATTTTTTAAAAAAAATATTAATTGGATTGGAAAACCATATGCTTTGATCGAGAAAGAAAGAAATAAAATGAAAGTCAGGCGCCGTACGGGTGAACTCAGTGGAGGGAAAAAACAGAGGCTTAGGGCTGACGTCAGCAATCTCGTCTTCTTCCTTCTTTTTTTTTTTTTTTAATGGAGGCTCTAAAACTTTGTAGTAAATAAGAATATTAAATGAGGCATCCAAATACATAATTCTTTCAACTTTTAAAATTTTACTTAAACACACAAATTTAAAAAATAATTTTTTTAATAGAAAATTTGTTATCTCTACATATACTTAATAATCAAATATTATTAATGAGAGGTAAATTTAAAAAAATATATTCCAAAACTGTCACACGAAAAAACGATACATTTATCTCGGAAAATGTTGTCACATATATATGAACCAATGAAATGAAATTTATAATAAATTTATCGATCTACGTGATGATATGTACATTTCGGTATTCGGTTTGCATTTAATTCCAGAATGGTTTGGTTCAATTCGTTCGGTTTTACAAAAATATAAATCATTCGATTATTATATTATATTCGATTTATTTCGGTTCGGTTTGGTTTCATTTCGATTTTAATTCGGTTCAATTCGATTTTGAAAATTTAAATTTTCTAAAAAAAATACTTAGACTATTCAAAAAAATACCGTATTTTTTATATAGTTCAATTCTGAGAAATGTACACAAATCGTCCACCCCTAAAAAAAACCCACGGAAACTATAATGGACATATTATATATATATATATTAAAAATCCCATGAAAACAGAACACAGAGAAAATCCGCAAACCTATGATTTGATTTTTTTTTTTTTGTGATTATTAACGTTGATTTAAAATCAGAGTCACGACAAAAAGATTAGATTCGTGAAAAGAACAATAAATATATCCATTATTGTCACAAGATCTATCCACTTAAAGGTTACAAAAAATGATTATTGAAATTTATTATATCATTTAAATGCGTCAACAAAGACCGAAAAACATGACTAAATATTATTGCGTAAACATAGAAACTACTTTTAATGAATGAGGCATTTACGGAAGCAAACGGCCGGAGGTCAGAGACGATATCGCCCCACGTGTAACAATCCTCGAGATCCAACGGTCCACACATCACCCAACATTAGACGATCCAACGGTCCGTAACTACCGGTTTCTTTTAACAACGCCGCATAAGTTCTGATCCAATTCAAGAAACTAAAAAAATCGATACATTTTTTTTTGTATATATATAATTTTTTTTCCCAATTTGTTTATATAATGCAAGCCGAGGATTACGGGTGTCTCCCTCAGTGGGTCCAAAACCCTAACGCTTTCTCTCTCTAAACCTACGTCTCCCTCTCTTTCTCTCTCTAACTATCCTTCATATCGCTCCTCTTTAGTCATCGAAGTCAACAAAAGCAATAATCTTTTTTTATTTTCGGCAAAAGGGTACCCAAAAGCAACAATCTTTTTGCTCTTCTTTCTCTCTTGTTGCCGATAGATATCTTATCTTTGGCTGTACAACAATGGCGTCGTCGTCTTCTTCCTGTGCGAGAGAGGTTCATTACAGGGGAGTTCGGAAGCGGCCATGGGGTCGTTACGCGGCGGAGATAAGAGATCCGTCGAAGAAAACTAGGCTTTGGTTAGGAACCTTCGACACTCCCGAACAAGCGGCCTTAGCCTATGATGGAGCCGCTCGGTATCTCCGAGGCATCAGGGCCAAGACCAACTTCCCTTCCCCTCTCTCCCTCGACCTTAACTACTACTCCTCCGCCGCCACCGCCGGAAACAACCACCGTCCCTTCTGGATCTCCGGTGTTCCTCCACCTCCTCCTCCCCCTCGTCCCATCCCTCTCGCCGGCGAGTTTCTCCGGACGGGTCTTCTCTTAGAGCAAGCTCCCGCTGTCTCCGCCGCTTTGGTGTCGCCGGGATGTTCGGTAGTTGAGTTTCCGGCGGTGGGTTCATCCGTTCCGGCGGGGGGTAGACGTGGGTTACCGATAGATTTGAACGAACCGCCGCCATTGTGGCTGTGAAGCTGTGCGGACGTTGAACAACGCCGTTCTGTAACATTGAGTTCCTAACGCGGCATTATCACTTACAATTACTACGCTTTCTTATAAATAAATCCGTTTTCTAGTAGATTTTTATAATTTCTTTTCCATCTCTAGGGTTTGGTTTCCTTAGCCATGCAGAGAATGTAAGCCACGGAATAGATAATGATAGTAGTATTAAATATTTATGTTGAAAAAAATCATTTCTAACGCTATAAACGTTTTGTATATACATCTCATCTATCTATTTTTTTTATAATCTGTGTTTATCTAACATTCGATCTAATTACATCTCCTAATCGAAAAATATAGATGAATATCTCTCTAAACGGTTGAATATTTGAACCCGAAAATCTCATCTATCCATTTTTGTAATGTCACTATGCTTATTTTCTCTAATCTTCGTTAGGTTTTAAGGACATGCATCCAAAAATCAACCTTCTATTGGAAATAATGTGGATTATATTGAGTGTTGTTCCACCAAAAACATACACAAAATATTTAATGGTGTTGTTGTGCAATTTTCCGACCGTTGGCCCATCTTCCTTTAGATCTATTGACAAGTACGGACTTTTTGTAGCTTCCACATTTGACTCACGCGCCTCTCTCTCTCTCTCTCTCTCTCTCTCTCTCTCTCTCTCTCTCTCTCTCTCTCTCTCTAGGTGACTATAAACACTTGCAAGAAACAACAACAAAAAAAAGCAAGCGTGTGGGTTCGGAGTGTATATTGGGTGGGGGGGGGCCGGAGCTCAGCCACTCTGACGAAGTACAGATTCATCTGCACCACCGAAATTACTATATTACCCCTTTTCGCTCGTGCGTGACCCCACGCGCCGTCGCCTTGCCTTAAATATGTGCGATAATGATAGAAAAAGAGCTGAGTTTACGGCGGCTTCATGAGCGCAAAACCGTGGAATTTAATTTTAGTTGGTAATTAAATAGAGATTCAGTTTTAGATCATTAAGACTTTGGATCGTCGTTTTTCTATGTCCACGCTATTCTATTTTTATTTTTATTTTCTATTACATGTGTTTACGCGATTGTATTTTCTTCTTGTAAATTAGTATTATTTTCGCGGCTGCAGCCGACAATAATTTGATATGGAGATCTTTGAAACGTGTGTTACAACTTAAAAAAACTATATAATTTAAATGTCTAATAAAAATAACAAGCTATATTTTTTATAAGATATTGATTTTAATTCAAAGGAAAAATAACATATAAATACCTAAACTTTTATGAAAATCCTAGATAAATATATGAACTGTAGAATTTCTATATAAATATCTGAAGTTTTAAAAATTATATATAAATACATAGACTTTTAAATTTTTTTCCAAATAAATACAAATTTCAGATATTTTTCAAATAAAAATAAATGATGTCATTAACGGATTTTGGGTTTATTTGGAAGTTTTTCAGAAGTCTATATATTTATATAGGATTTTAGAAAAATTCAGATATATATATATATATAAATTTTATAGTTTAGGTATTTAATTGGGATTTTTGTAAAAATTTGTATATTTATATACGTTTTTTTTTTCTAATTCAAAATGAAAACGATTGTGACAAAATAAGATGGAGGATAATATCCTCATTGTTGAAACGATAAAGAGAAGTGAAAAAATTATACCATAAATATTTTGGATAATATATAATGAAAAATCTAAATTATCAATAGAAAAAAAAACGTTTCTTTATATTTCAACAAATTTCGTCATTTGATTTTGTCCCCTCCCGTATTTCAAGGATTTATTTTTGCACTTTTTTTTTCAAAGCCCCCGCCGAAAATCAAATTGAGGCTTATATATATATATATATATATATATATATATATATATACATATATAATCTAATTCTATAAATGATAAAAGTCAATCCTATGGCCAATGAGAACTTTGAAGTGGAGTAGTTACTTCTTCCAAAAAGTCCAAAAATGATGTGAGAGTAGCAAAGGTTCAACCATAAATAATCATTACATACACTCTCTCAACATTAATAGATATGTCTATGAATTACCAAATAGCAATTAGCAAATATAAACAAAAGTCAATCAAAGCCTACATATAAAATAGATTTTACTTTTAAAATCCTAACATTAATTCAAAATAGAAATTATTTATATTATTTGGATAAATATCATTTTTTTAATCCAAACTGCTTTTCATCAAACAATTTCATACTTTGAAAAAATTTAGTTGTTTTAATATCTAAATTTATTTTTCATATATTTTAATTATTCCAAAAATTTTATTTATAATAATGGCCATCAAATCACTAATAACGATAAAATACTAGAACAGTTGAAAATAAGAGGAAAAACTCATTTAGATTAATATAATTGTATTGACTATTTATAAATATAAAATTTTAAGTTAAATTATAGAGAAAATAAAAAAAAATACTGAACTTTTAAATTTTGAAAAAAAAACATTGAACTTTTTATTTTATCAAATAAATATTAAACTTTTTAAATTTTACAAAATAAACACTTAACTTTTATATGATTGTCAAAATAAACAAAATGAATGACGTGACACAAGGAGATGCAAATACGTCAGATTATTTTACTTAGTTTTTTTGACAATCGAAAAAAAATTCATGTATTTTTTTTATCACTAAAAAAATTCAGTGTTTTTTAATATCGCAGAAAAATTCATGTATTTTTTGGATTATTTGAAAAATTCAGTATTTTTTTAGATTCTTTAAAATTTTTAATATTTATTCGACAAAAAATAAAGTTCAATGTTTTTTTGTCAAAATTGTAAAGTTGAGTGTTTTTTTTAGATTTTTTCTAAATTATATAAATTTAAGAATCTAATATTAAAATATGTTTTACCCAAAAATAATAATATATGAGATTGTACGGAAATATATTTCGTGGAACATAAAAAAATAGTATTACTTGTTATTAATAATACCCTATTCAGAAGGGGAAAAAAAGATTTAATCATATTGTTTTCGGCGCCAATAGAAAAAAAAAAAAAGAGGATGACATCAGCAGCTGAGAACCTCGAAGGCCGACCGTCAGTTGCGTCAGCTTTGACCGTCGTGCGTAAAAGCATCCGCTAATCTGGGCCCACAAAGGGTAAAACTGTAAATATACATTATTTTCCAGGAAAATTCGAATTTTTTTTTGTTATATAGGGGTTCGGGCAGTCCAATGGGCCTTATACTTTATTTGCCGCGAGTCTGTTTATATTTTAATTTTTAATTTTTGCACAATTTTATTTTTGTGTTTGAAAGTAAACTATGGTCATTTAAGATTTCGGATCCCGTTGGATAATATTTGGTTCGGTTATAAAAACACTATATTCATTAACTTTTTATATCAACTTCGATTTGGTTACGTTAAAATTCGATTTTGTATTAAAATTCAATTTTTTATTGATAAAAACTCATTTTTTAAAAAATTATTTTTTATAATTTATTTTATTCGATTCCATTTTATTTCAATTTTTTCATATTTAAAAAAGTTATTACCATTCAATTTTTATATTTATTAACTTTTATATCAATCTTCGATTTGGTTACGTTAAAATTCGATTTTGTATTAAAATTCGATTTTTTATTGATAAAAACTTATTTTTTAAAAAATCATTTTTTATAATTTATTTTATTCGGTTCTATTCGATTTTGATTTTATCAGATTTAAAAAAATTATTATCGTTCAATTTTTATATCAAATTTAGTTCGGTTACGGTTATCTTATTCAATTCGGTTATCAACATAATAACCCAAAAAAACTCATTAAAAAATTCATTTTTCTTTTTATTTTTTTATCATAATAAATCGCATGCGTTCGACGGCCCAATATCTTCCACACGCAAACACGTTTTCAACAAGTTTGGTTAGATCTTTATTTAATTATGGTTATATAATGTCACTGTCTAACTTTAGAATATATATAATTATTCACATATTCTAATACAATCATTACCAATAATTTTTTGTTGTACAAATAATTTATTTCTTAACAAAATTTAAAACTTATATCAGATTAGGTTATTATAATATCGTATAAATTCTCAACAAACATAAATATATATATATATATATATATGTATTCATAATAATTTCAAATATCATTGAAAAAGAAACTGATTTAACCATGCATGGACCGACTGTGACTTGAGCGTGTGAACATTTTGTCCATCATGTTTTAATCTCTCTTTTTTTTTCTGATTTAAATTTTTTTTTTCCAAAGAGCATTAATAACTGCACTGAATTTTTAAAAATAAATAGCAAAATGAAAACGAGATAGGGACTTTATTTATGAAAACATATTTAGTATATTCCATTTACATGTGTATATTTATAAAAACATATATATAATTATATATGTATATATATATATATATGCGTATACATGTATAAGCTTTTTAAGATTGTGTATGATTTTGTTTGTCTGTAGAATACGACAGAGCTGCAGACCAAATCCAATAACGCGGCATTACCTTTCGGCTTTCCTTCCAACCAGTGTACGTACGCCCCGTTATATTATTTACACGTGTCCTTTTCTTTCTAAATTTTTATATGATTTTTAATTACAAATAGATAAAATCTATAAAAAAAATTTTGAATTTATAAAATGGTAAAAAAGACAAATTTTAAAACTTTTTATTTAACTAATTTATTTCCAAATATATAAAATATATTATTGTAATATTCAAACTCTACGATATTGATTCAAAAATCAGTTTAGAAATTATAATAATATATTTTACAAATTTAAAAATTATAATAAACGTATTTTGTAAATTCGAGAATTTTTATAGGTTTTATCTTTACAAATAATCCAGCCAATATTACATTGTTTTGATATAAATATATTACACGTGTAAAATTTTCCAAATTTTACTTGAGCTTGGTAATAAAAAACTTGTAGAGAAATATACATGAGGACATGTTATATGGTAAATATCACTTTTTTTTTAATTAAAGAAATAAAATTAATTTTTTGTTTATATGATACTTGGAAAACACAGAGACATGAGTGGATAATATTTTTTATTGGTGATGGTTCCGTGGGAATGTTTTGGTTTTCATTAGGTTTTAATTTACGCATTTTAATTTTTATCTTTTTGAATGAATAAATATCTTTTAATTTTCGAGATATATATATATATTTACTTCCGTTATGCATGCTGGTGTTTATTTTGGATTCAATGGAGATTTGGTTTTTAATTAATTATTATATATAATGGTAATTTTTAGATTGTTTAATATGCAATTATTATGTATTAGCATAATGCGACATATTAACCAATTAATCATTATTCATATTTAATTTTAAGAAATATTCCGAATGCTTATAACAGAAGCTTAAACATGAGACCGTAATACTTAACTCCACTTGTTGCCACTATATTAGAAGTAATTTTATGACCCAGATTATATAAATTATTTTTATAAAATAAATTAATCATTTATAATTTCTCAATACTTGTATCCGCCCCAAGAAAATAAAAATAAAAATAAAGTTGCAGTTCAAAGTCCATCCTATTGAAATGATTTAACACAATAATTAACAAGTAATAACCTTATTTAATTGAGATAAAAAGGGATTAGATAATTAAAATCTGTCACACTTTATGTTTTTGTAATTAAATAGCTAATGAAGGGTTTAGACATAATAATTGTTACGAAATTAGACCCAATCTGGGTAATTCAACCGGTGAAATGGGGACACAAAGCGTATGTCCCGTCCCGAGTTCGAACCCAGGCTGGGGAGGGAGTGCATAATTCAAATCACATGGCTGACTCCCGGCTCCGGGATTAGTCTGGGCCTCGGTTCAGGAAACCCGATTACCCAAAAAAAAAAATTGTTACCAAATTAGGATTTATACGTTTCCATTGAATCACATATCATTAAAGCACAAAAAAGCTGCACAATTTTTTTTTTATAAATATGGAATAAAATAATCATACACCATGCTTGCAAAATTAAAAAAAAAAACATAGAGCATGTTCAAACTTTAATTACTTCAAATATTTAATTGAACAATTTCATCTATTAAATGGACAATTTAAACCTTTTTTTATTATCTAATATTACAAATGAGATCCTAAAACTTAGAAGAAAAAAAACAAATCGATTTAAATACCTTATCCCATATACTTCAAAACATTAAATTCCATATCTTTTTTTTTTTTGTAAGAATATGCGAATCCAACATTTTTTTTTTCTATAATTAACTTTATCCATATAAAAAATCAAATTTAATCAATGATTGAAATGAAATAGCTCCGATTCGGACAAAATTAAATCGAATTTATATATTTCTTAATCTAAAAAGCAAAAGGGTTACAACTTACAATGGTGATAAACAGCATAAGGAGGGAATATGCTGAAAAAAAAAACATTTCTATTGGAACCCTAAGTAATTATCATCTATTACCATCTTTGATTATTTGGAATGTTTTAAAAGTTTCCACAAAATTATTATTATTATTATTTCAAAATTAATTTTTTTAAAATGGCTCGAAAAATATCAAGCGGCCTCCGGCGGAGGCGGCAGGTTGAGGTCGAGATTGAAGAACGCGCGCGCCCTTCGAGGTCTGACGTGGCGTTGGTTCAGATCTATCACCACCGACGCCGACGAGTCCGACTCGCTGCTCTGCGATCCAACTCGCGCGTCGCACTCGCGCGCCGCCGTCATCCACCTCGCGGCCTCTGCGTAGGCGGCGAAATCGCTCGCCAGAACCTCCACCGGGCTACCGAATCCGATCACCGGAAAATGAAATCTAGCGGCGGCCGATGCGAAATCGGCGCATCCGAGGTTAAGATCGAGAGCCGGCGGAGACGAATCGGTGACCGGATCTCGGCTCGATGACTCGACGGTGCTGCTGTGGCTCGGGCTCTGGTTACGGCGGTGGGGGAGATCACTGTCGCCGTCGTGGACGGAGGGAGGGAAATTGGTTTTAGCCTTGGCGCCGCGGAACTCAAGCGCCGCCTTGTCGTAGGCACGGGCCGCCGCTTCGGCGGTGTCGAAGGTGGACACGTGTCTCCTTGGCGGGATCTCTGATCTCGGCGGCGTAACGGCCCCACGGCCTCTTCCTCACTCCCCTGTAACGCCTCTCCGTCGTCACGCCGTTACGTTTGGCGGTCGCCGCCATTGATGAGAAGCTGAAGCTTTTTTAAAAATAATTTTTTTTAAAAATGAAATGGAGGATGTGAGAATGAGGAGGAGAGGCTGTGACGCCATTTATAGACGGAAGGAGAGAGTCAACCGCGGATTTGACTGGAGGCGGCTAACGATGGTGGTCGAGTGGCATTCTCGTAATATTATCTGATGACGTGGAATTTTGGGGCCGTATAATTATTTTTTTTAATAGTGTGCGGTGGTTTGCGATTGGAGGAACTCACGCGCTATATTGACGCGTGCCAATAGTTTCTTTTTTCTTTTGGATATGAGGAAATATTACAAAACCGATCCACTCTTCTTTTATTTTCTTTTTTTGGAACGAAATTTAGAGGATAATTAGTGAGTTACGAAAATTATTTGACTTTCATTATTCCAAAAACCAACTCCAATTTTATTTATGAGTAATTTTTTTTTAAATTTAAATAGGTATTATTCTGATGAAAAATAAATACTCTTGTATTAATTTGAATTGATCCATACCCGAAAATTTTGTAAATTTGTCTACGGGAATATTAGTGGATCGATCTAAATAAGTGATAATAATATTAAATTGGGATTTGTTTGTGCATTGAATGCAAATTGGGGATGGAATTCTTTAATTTTTTTTTATTTTTTGAGGAAAAGTTAAGTTAACATCCACCAACACAATATCCTAATTATCTCAATTGAGGTGAATTTTAAATTATTTAGGTATTAAGTATTTAGATAAATAGGATAGATTCAAACTATAAATTTAGATAATATGACATTTTCCTACGACTTTTTCATAGACGTATTTTAAATTTAATAAAAAACTATATTTTAATTTAAAATTTATCAAATGTCTACACGAATGATTAAAATTAACAGTAATTACATACATAATCATCATTTTCGTTAAAAATTTTTAGATTCTATTAACTAATGCTATGAAGTATATGGTAGTTACAGATTTAACTAATGCATTAGTTAACAGAATCCGAAAAATTTTAACGAATGATGATTATGTATGTAATTACTATTAATTTTAACAATTTGTGTAGACATTTCAAAAATTTTGAATTCAAGTGTAATTTTTTGTCAATTTAAAAATACGTGTATGAAAATATCATATTTGGCTAATTAAATTTGTATAAGAAAATGTCATTTTTTCGTAAATTTAAAATATTCTAAAAAAAATTATCGTTTGGTGATGTGAGTAGTAAGAAAGTCGACACATTATTGGATACATCTAAATGGTCTGGAATGCACCAATTTGAAAAATAAATTTAATTTTTTTTAGAGATTATAACAAAAAACATAAATTTGATAAATAAATACATAAACTTTTAATATTGTATAAAAACACACCAACTTTGAAAATTTTCATATAAATCACCGTATAAAAATATATAAACTTTTAAATTTTGTTATAAATCACCATATAAAAATATACAAACTTTAAAAATTTTCGTATACATTCACAATTGAAATTAATGTTTTTGTGTATTTACACAATTTGTTTTTTAAATTTATGTATTTTATATAAGTTTTATATATTTATTTTTCAAATTTAAAAAGTTTATATTTTTTGGCGATATTATCATGCTTTTAACTTTGTCATAATACCATTCAATATCGTCTAAATTGCAGAGATTTCATCTATCAAAATCAACATAATTAATAATCAAATATGCATGCTTAACCTAAAAATGACAAATGAAAAGACATCGAAGAAGAGGAAAGGGTTGGTGAAACGGAGACATGATGGCAACATGTCGGAACACCACAGATAATCACCACACACACATATATATATATACACACATACACGCATATAT